TTCTCTAATAATTTGATGAAACGGCAAAGCTTCCGCGCTTCGCGCGGGAGGGGAAAAACTGAATACAGACAAGGAATGCGAGTCGAGAATGGTACAAAAAAATCGTCTTCTTTCTCTAATGATTAATGAAAGGTCAAAGCTTCCGCGCTTCGCCCGCAATGGGGGGAGGGGGTGGGGGGGGGGGGGGCAACGAGCTGCCCGAATTTGAGTTTTTGATTTCTTTTCTCGTTTATTTTGGGGATAAATAACACTTTCACAATATTATGCTCAAATTAATTGTTGCTCGCTCGCTTCGCTCACTAGCCGAATTGTGAAACCAGAAAATTACTTTTTCGGGCAAGAGGCTATAGCCCCCTCCCGATGAAAATGTCAAAAATTGTACCGGTATGGTGCTTCTAATATGACCTTGAAAAAACGGTCTGCGCATTTTTCAAATTTCCGGCCCCCCCCCTATTGGAAAATCCTGGATCCGCGCCTGGTAATGTACTCTGTATTGCAACTTGCATCAGATAACATTATAGTTACATTTTTTATATATACTCTCAGCGCCTTAATACAAGTTATAATACAAATTAATTGGTATCCTCGTGAAATAAGTGATCATTCAAGAACTATCCTTGACTATTTCAAAGAAATATGTGAATGGATTTATCATTATGATTATATAGCATACACCTTAGAGATCAGTTTAACACGTACACATCATCCTGTAACTCTGTCAGCCAAGGATGACTCATAATGGTCAAGCAAAATCTATGAATATTATCATCTAGCTACTAGTATTCTGCGACATAGAAAAGTCGAGTATTATAACGGTCTAGTCATCATTGCATTATTCAAAAGAGAATATATAATATCCCTTGGCATTTGAGATGAGGAAGAGTATTCAACCCAGTCACGTGACCTCAATCTCAAGATGTATTTCAAGTTGGCAGTCACGTCCGTCGCCATTCGTTTACATAATACGGCGCGTTCACACAGCATCATAACCAGGGCTGATCATAACAGAACTCAATTATTGTAAACATTGGTATATTCTATCGGTATCATTTTACAATTTGACGGGAAATGGAGAACCAATCCTTAAAATCTGGATTATCTTCACAACTATTAATCTTGTTCTGTAGACATTGAAGCCCAAAGCAATGGATAAGTAGGGATAGGTTGCCTTTGCATTTCCTGATGTTTGATCAATTGAATTCCATACTTTCAAGTTCTCAATCATATATGTACTTTTATTTTTGTGTATTTTAAGTGTCACAGTTTATGTAAACCAATGATATTGTATGCTTTTCATTTTGTTTGAATATTTTATATTTGATTTTTAAATAAACGCAGAAATAGATATGCTATAAAAAGGGAGAGAAATTGAAATGAATCAACAATACGTTAAATAAGAACAAGTAGAATGAAAACATTAACATTTATATTATCGAATTAGAAATAAAGAATTGTAAATATAAGTACACTAACAAAGACGACTCGCTAAACCCACATCTTTAGGAAAATTAAGCCCGGCAAATAATATTATAGTACGAGTAAATGTCAGAGTAGACACGATTGGGCTAAGATATAATTCCGTGTGTGAACGGACCTTGTTTTTAGATACAAAACGAAATCGGAAACCATGCACTTGTTCTCTCTAGGCAGACTTAACCAGCTTAGAGCTAGACTGAAGGGTTCGTGAAGGATTAAGCGACAAACATGCATTGATGTGTATTGGATTGCATCATCTACTCTTTGAAGGGTTGTGAACTCAGGAGTGAGTTGCCAATTTGTCTTGTGATTTTCAAAGTTGTTCATGTCATTACAAATTCAATACTTTTTTCATTACTTCTCCGATTTTGCTCAATTTTTTTTTTATTGGTTTGTCTGATTTTTCTGCTTCTTTATTGAAAGTAATGAAAAGAAAGACGGTCTCCAGTTTCCCTGTGCAGCCGAGGTCATAATTCTTTGACACCATACTTGGTGGAACTGGAAATACCATGAATGTGTGTACGAGTATATGCACACAGCAAACCCGTAGGCCTATCAATTTATACCCCCCCCCCCAGTCGATCGGAAACTCTTTGATTGATGGTAATGTAAGACAAAGAATTTTCCATGTAGGGTGATTGGTGGAAAATGCAGAGCACTACATAAAGCATGTTGGTCATGCAATTGAAGATTATACAATTCTGGTGATTGAAAGCACTTGTTTTTCAACTCATACAAAATGAACAATTCTGTTCGGGGAAGATATCAAATTCATCTTTAGAATAAATCATAGTATACAGTGATTCCATGAAAAGAAATTTGGGAAATATCATTGATTTTCTGTAAATACGAACCAACTCTTGAATATTAACTAACTAGCAGCTGCGATTCCATAAATTTGATATTTTGTGGGGCCGGGGGGGGGGGGGGGGGGGGGAGAGGGGAGCTTGGAAGATCTCTCACACATTAACTACATGTTCCTCGCTTTAAGTCATACGAAACCAATACTTGTTTCGGGTGAAGGGGTAATTGAGGTTCCAAGAGACCCCCCCCCCCCCCCCCCCCCCCCCCCCCCCCCCCCCCCCCCCCCCCCCCTCGAACCGCTACTGGTAAACAGAGTGAAATTCTAAGGATTCGAAACTTCACTTTTGGATGGCGCTGTGAGGAGATGATTGTGACGTCACTGGGAATACAGGAAGTGGCCATGTTGAATACAAATGACTTGTATTTTATAACTGGCATTCTCTGCGTACCTTAACATTCTAATCACGTCCAACCCGATGTGTTTACTCATAAGACGAATGGATAAAAATTCAGCAGGGGGGGGGGGGGGGGCGATGGGGGGGGGGGGGGGATGGGCAGGGAGGGGCTGGTGCTGACGTTTCATGCCCAAGATTTTGTTTAGACATTTTGCGAGTATACGGAGCAAAGATTGGCTCAATGAAATCACGATATAAAGTATACGAATGGGAATGGAATAGGAATAGAAAGTGGGATAAAGAGTGGGGATGGAGGGAGGGCGCAAGAATAACAAGGAAAGAGAGAGAGAGAGAGAGAGAGAGAGAGAGAGAGAGAGAGAGAGAGAGAGAGAAAAGAAACAATGGGAACATAAATGGAAAAAGAGAGATAAAGAAAGAAGCGAGAGGGGAAAGCTAGCGAGAGAGAAAGGGAAATACAGGGAAAAAGATAGAGGGAACGAAAGATAGAGGAAGAAACTGAGGTGGGAGAGGTCTGGAAGAGAAATAGAGAGAGTGAGAAAGAGAGAGAGAGATAGCGAGGGAGAGAAAGGGAGGGGGGAGCGTGAGTGACAGACAAATAGAGAAAGCCGCCAGGAAATCATTACAGTCCAATCAAAAATATATACTTCTCATCATTTTTTATTAAATGTTTTGCTTTATTCAATCATTTTTAATGATTCATGATCAAATTCTGATTCACAAAAATTAAAACACCAGTAGAAAATACACAAAGAGGTAATTTACTTTTGATGATGAAAAAATAAGCAATACATATTTTAGTACTCCGTAACTGATTGAAAGAAGGCCCTTTCAAAATAATTTGATATATAAAAGAAATATCAAAATGTATGTTTACCATTCAGGTTTTCACATTTAATAAAATAATTGACAATGCAAAAGCTACTAAAACTACCTCAACGCAAAACCATGGAAAATATTACATTGCAAGCGCAAGTTTTTAGAAAGATACTTATTAATGTAAATAATATTTTATAAAAACAATCTTTTTTTTACACAATTTAAAAGACAATCACTGAATTTGAAACAGAACAAAATAATGTTACAAGAGTTAAATTTTGCTAATTATAAAAAACAGAAGGAACCTAAAATGAGTTACATTTCAATTTTTGGCAAATATACCCAGAAATTTTCCCCTTTATGCCATACACTTTCACCATAAGATATCTTCCCACACCTCTCTCGATCACTCTACAGTTTGCTCAGAGTTAGAAGGGCTTTAACTCAGTGTTAGAGTAAGTGAATGAAATTGCAACAAATATTAAAACACAGAATAAACGAATCAATGAACATATCTTTCTATTTCAGGGGTAGACGCTATCAGCTAAATATGTTCATGCATCACAAAATAGGTTTATGATAAATCAAAAATAATGAGAACTTCCCCCCCTCCCCCCTCCCCCCCCCCCAAAAAAAAAAAATAAATAAATAAATAAATAAATAAAGAAAAGAAAATGAAAAATTATCAATGAAAGTATTGGAAACAAAACCAAAAGTAAATATTACACCAAAAATAAGACAATAATGATCAAATAATTCAGAAAATAAAAAATGGGTAAACAAATAGAAATATGCATGCAAATATGCATTAAAAAAATTACATAATTTCATTTGCATAGCTCAAATCAGTGTAGATTGCACAGTAGAAAACACACACACCAAATATTTGAAATGATCACACACAATGAAAGACTTCAATTGAAAGGTGATTTCATCTTATGATAATAACAATAACATAATATTCAATTCATGTAAAACAAACTTTTAGATATCCAGTTTAAGACACTGCTTCCTCTCTTTGTATGTACAGTAAACAAGTGGTACAAGGTTAACATTTTGACTGCCATAATTGATTGACATGCGTATCATCTAAAAGCTATACATCGATACATATCTTTGATAAAATTAATTTATTGTACAGTTGAAAGACAATATTAAATTTCAGACTTAACATGATGATAATAATGACCTAGAAAAGAAACATTGAAATGTTCTAAATATCTTAATACTTAATCTTACTTCAATATATATTTTTTTTGAAAAACAACGACACACTTCAAGGGAAATCCATCCTTTGTAATTAGATGATTCGTGTGATAGCAGAAAACAAATCAGAGAAACAGGATGGCTAAATATGACAGGAATAAGACAAACAAGAAGTTCTGTTTTGAAAAATTAGATCACAAAATCAATGCGAAAACAACATTTGCAATTAGGCCAGTAGATTATGGCGTATTCAAGGACAACTCTCCTGCTTTTGTTCACTAAAATATCATTAGCTTTCTTGTTAACTCCTAAATGTCTTTTCCCTCGGGGCATTATTCAAAGTATATCACAGAGAACATCTTCAAAATGAGAAAAAAAATTCATACTAAGTAAAATATACAAACAAAATTGACATTCTAATCATATTTTAAATGGGAACAAATAGACATTTTTACATCAGAGTGGTACCAGTCTCATCCATTTGAAATCTTGTATAGTGATTACAACTTCAGAAAACTCAGAGATTTGTTAAATGCTTGACTGTTTAACTTCATTCAAACTATCACCAGCCTTTATCTTTCATTTTACTTCTTTCTTTCAGAGAACTTGCTAATAAGGTTTTATTTCCCTTTTAAACTACACATACAGATATATACTGCATACAATTAAATTGATATAAAAACATCCTTGTTGTGTATACAATATATTTATAAAGTTTTTTCATTATAATGATCATATACATTGAACTTTAAAAAATACATTTCCATTCATCAAAAAGTGTAAATAGAAAAACTGTCATTAACAAAATGGTAAATGTTACAAAAAAGTAAACTGTAGTATATTATCTCTATATTTACAGGCTCCTAAATATCTTTTGGCAGGAAAATTGAGTATTATCAAGGTGCATCAGGAAATTGTCAACCTGTACATGTATGTAAGTCTGCATTTTTTAGTAAACATTTGATCGCAAACTAATTGATCCACCATGCATTACAAATGGAATGATTAGCCTAACAAAGACATTTCCAAAGAGATGATTGGTGCTACAAAATTGAAGAGTAGCAAAAAAAAAACAGACATACTAAGTGAATTTAAGTACTGTTTGCTAACATGAAACTTTTGGCCACCAAGGTACTGGATGAATGAGGATACCGCAGAGCTAGGTGAAGTGCCCAAGTCTCTATGACTTTTAGGGGTTTTCAGGTATTCTTTGAAAGGATATAGTACTTTCAGTATCCTTTCATTTCTAAGTCATACAACTTTGGGTACATTATCAATGGAGTGGTTGATAAAGAATAACTAATGACTCTTTGTAGTTACGGGTAGCTCAAAAGATACTTGATGATGTGACTTGAATCAGTCTCACCTTCTCTAGTTAATAGTGGCTAACAGAGTTCATGTATTTCTGACCATTGAGGTGCTTTACGGAGGTGTGAGTTGGTCAGCTCTCTATCTTCCCCTACAAACTGGCTCAGGCAACCCTGGTTCGAAACTGAGTCACGTCTTTCGGATGGTGACGTTAAAGGTCGGTCCCCAGACGTAAATAATCATACCTGCTTGATACACGTCTGTAAAAACCAAATACACACGCAGTGCTTTAAGATGTAACTAAGGGGCCCTCACCTTCTCTAGGTACTCTATGCATGGGTACTGTACCTTGAGTATACCCAGGTTCCTCAGACCTTTGACTCCATACAGATGAAGAGTCTTGAGCCTGCCAATACAAAGATACACAACAATTATGACTAAGATATATTTTCAGTTAATTTACATCTTCAAAATATAACAAAATATTCCAATGCAAAGTACTAGGAAATAACCCCAAGAAATATGTATTTATGGGGTAGTTGCCATGAACAATCGCATACCATCATATACATGTACATTCATGGTGAAGTCAAGCAATCTTTCTTCAACCAGGAGTAAATACAATTTCAGAAAAAAAGCCCATAGTATCTAGGTACAAATCAGAAACTTTTGCATAAATAAATTTTTATTCTTTCCACATTCTGATTTTAAATGCCTGAACTTTTGTTTGTGGACCACAGTGATTGGCAGCCATACAAGGACCATTTTACTTACTTCTTGCAATGCTTGAGTAGTCGTATTATGCTTGCCTCTGTGATCTCTCTACAGCAATTCAGCTTCAGCTCCATGAGGGTTTGACTGGCATAACTGGCTAAGGAGGACACACTGAAAGGAAAACAAATGTAATTAGTAATTAGTGGTGGTTATTTTATCTGACTGCTAACAAAGCATAAATGCTTGTTATTAAGCAACCAGAAGACCAGCGGCTTTTGGTCCTCTCCGAGGGACCTGGTAATGAGGATTAATGCCTTACCAAAGGGCATTAGCACATCGCCTTGGTTTTAAATCCGGGTCACCGGATAACGAGACCACTGCCCTACCAACTGAGCTATTGCACCTCTTGGACCCCTTTGAAACTTGGACCCCTTTGAAAAACAGCTTATAGCTGACAAGGGCAATCCATCCCATGAGTGGAGAATAAATAAATAAATAAAATAAAAATAAATAAATAAAGATATAACAATTCAAGACTTGTGACTGATATTTTTTTCAAGTCATGTAAATCCTAATCATGAATTGACTGGTTGAGCACCTGTCAAATGTTATGTAGAGGTGTTGTGGTCTAGTGGACATGTCACAGAATTGTGAACCACAGGGGATCAGGTTCAAACCCCTGTCTCAGTATGAATGTCCTTTGTCAAGGCATTAATCTATGTTTGACAAACTCCACACGGGTGAGGTAAATGGGTACCTGTCGTGAATTAATTCCAAAAAGTGCTAGTGTGCAATATTAGCAGCCATGCTAAGGCTGGGGTAATAATCAAGGAGTGCCAGGAGTGTCAAGTCTGACAAACATGAGTGTTATACATGAACTTTAATTATTTATATCATTATCATTATATGTTAAGGAAGTGTTCCAAGTCACTACAGCTTGAGGCATAGGAGAAAGAAAATTAAATCCATGAACATGTCAGCTCTAACATACACAGGCCTTTAATAAACAAAATGATAACTGGATTTATAAAGCACCAGGTTTTCTCCCTTAGTCAATGAATGAATTAAGAAAAATTGTACAGTATGATTTTTTTCTTTTGTGTTTCTTGTTTAAAGAAAAACCTGTTATGTACTACTGACTGATGATGGCAGATAAAAGAAATTACTTCCAAATTCAATTCATTCAATTCAATTCAGAAATGTTTTTTTTATTATTGCACAAACATGGTTCATACAAATACAATTTTACATGAAAGACAGCCATGGCTGGAATATTCAGGTTTACATGTTGGGCAAAGTAGATAACACTTTTAAACATATATACATGTCAAAAACTAGCAATACAAAAAATAGGACCAAAATAAGTCAACTAGAGGTTTTCTTATCATTAACAATTTGATGCCATAAGCTCGAGTATATAAATCATACCTCTTGTGCGTGACTGATGTAGAGCTTAGTCCAACCTTCTCCAAGTATGGACAGCATGTTGCTAGGCAACGCATCCCTTCGTTCCCGATCTTACGACAACCAGAAGCATCCAGGCTCCTATTGAGAACAAAAAGAATTGAAAAAAATTCATATTATGACTAATACTTAGATGAAAGAATCCATCTGGAAAGAACATAGTGGGAGCCCCATAGCAGCACACTAATAGAAAGTCAAATGAAAGGAAAGTCAAATGAAAGGAAAGACAAAAAGAGGCTGACAGAGAAAGCAGTGGTCAGACAACATTAAGGAATGGACTGGCCTCACATACACAGGAACAGACAGAAGTGGAGAGAAGTGATCAGAAGGAGTGCAAGGGGGTGTCTCACAAAGACTAAGATCGATTTTAAGTTGGGTATGGCAGACCGTCATGTCACTGTTTGCTCTCATTATTTACTGGCATTGGTCTCTCAAGGGACGTACAAATCATGGTCACAAATCTACAGAATTTACATTATTTGATCATTCATTATTGAAGGAAAAATATTATCTAAAGATCGTAAATGGTGAGAGCAAACAGTGGTGTGAACTGCCTGCCATAGTTAAGTTCTACTTAAAGTCGATCTTAGTCTTTGTGAAACACTCCCCAGATGTGGTTGCCAATCACCAGCTAATGACGGATGCAGCCAGGCAGCTAGGTAGGTAACCCTATTCTATTCAGGTAATGTATGTAGCGAGACATCCGTGATATATTTTGCAATTTCATTCTAGTGCTCCGACATTTGCTCTGGCGACAATTACTGCAGGCTTTAATTCATCTCAAAAGTATGATTATTGAAAGGGTTGCTGTTGGGTTCTCGGTGATGCTTAAAGTAAGGGTTAGTGTTAGGTATAGCCTTGGGTCCAAGGTTGAAGTTAAGGAATTTGGTTAGTGTTGGAAATGTTGAAGTCGAGTGGTTTACTTTAAGCACTTGACTTGAAATGCAAAGGTCATGGGTTCAATCCCTGACACGGCACTAATGTCATCTAGCAAGGCATCAATCTACATTTGCCCCTCCATACCAAAGAGAGAAATGGGGACACGGTAGGATGACAAAATCATCCGTGTATTTTCTCACGGTGACCAGACGGAAGGAATACCCCTCTAGGAGTGGAGATGGTGCACATTGTGCATGAATGGATCCAACGACCGGGGTAATATTATCTGTAAAGCACTTAGAGACGATATTTCGAACTAACCGCTACATAAATCCAAATTATTATTTAAAAGTATAGGCTTTCAGTCAGGGGTAGCATTTTGGTTATTTATAGTGTTGGATCCACGTTTGATTAATGTTTTAATTGTTGCTAGTTCGGAAAAACATTGACTGGTCCTACCTATCAACACGTCATATATGCAATTCGCATTCTGACATTTGAAATACTACTATTTGTAACAGGTGAATGAAATAATTTGTAACAAGGTACTTAACAAAAAATTTGATTACATTACTAATACAGAAGTAAGTGTTGTACAGCCTCCTTACCTTATACTGTTCAGGTACGTAGCGATCTCGATCAAGGAGACATCAGTGACATGTGGACATGATGCAATGGACAGGGTTCTGAGCTTCTTGCAGTGCCTGGCGATCTTCTTGACAGCAGAGTCTCTGAGCTCCTTGCAGCCCTTGAGATGCCAGTGTTGTAGGGATTGGAACTTGGGCGCGACTGAAGCTACGCACTCATCGGTGATCTGCCAATATTAAAAATTAAATGATTTTCAGACATGTACATGTAGCATTATGATTAAAAAAAAAGGAGTATAAATTTAATGCATTGTTTAACAATGTTAACTCTGAGATGCACAGCCCTACATGTCATCAGTGTCTGTGATACGGTGTAATATTGAAGCCCTAAACAAATTGCGCTTCAAAATGATCAAGAAGTGCCTCGAAAAAGTAAAAATCTTTGAGTGACCGGTTTTACCAGACTCGTTTTCCCCGACCCTTTTTCCTCAATTGACTGTAGTGTTATAAAAACCGTTTGGCAAACAGCTTTCTAAATTTGTAATTCCAAATCATAAATATCTTGATAATCAGACAGGCGATTGGCTTGTAAAAGTCATGGGGCTCCTGACTGCCTAGAGGTTTATAATTATCATTGCAGCATGAGCTAAATCCAGGACTTTGTTTCAGAATCTGAGACTAAGTTACCGGATCCCTTTAAGCATGGAGACTCAAATTGTGTGACGAGTATAAATAGAACAAAAAAATTAATAAAAAAAATATTAGCCAAAAGAAATTAGTATTTGGGGTTTATCATACCTTGTAGCACTGGGCGATATTAAGAGTCCTAAGATGGCTGCTTGTGTCAGCAAGATGTGTCAGAGTTTGAGGAGAGAGATTGAAACATCCGCACAACTCCAATACCTCCAGACTGGTAAAAAGAAAAAACAGAAACAAAGAATGCATGCATAATCTCATTAATTGAATAGTCATCATTGAAAAAAAATGAGGAATGTTGTCAAGCTCAATTGATTTTTGTGATTTAGAATGTATTTCTGTTATTGCTTTTCCTATTTCTTCAAAAACCAGACAACTTACATACAACATGGTCAGCAGCAGCAGTATAGGTATGGGAAGAGAAAATTAACAAATAAAAGAATAACATGTTAGGGGTAGATGTATTTTCATTAAGTAATTTAAATTTATTGGCCCGTATTCTGAAGTCAGGTTTAGTTAAACCCAGGTTTAACTTTAAACCCAGGTTTAACTAAGCCAGACTTCAGGTCTAAGTATCATTTCAGTTTCTGAAAGCCAGGTTTAGTTAAACCCAGGTTTAAATCTAAAACCCAGGTTTAAAGTTAAGCCAAGGTTTAACTACCATGGAGATGTAGTCTGCTTCTACTGCACATGCTCAGTACAGCTCATCCATCTTCAAGGGTAGCTGATATGGCCTTTATAGGCTTTGTTATAGCTGGATTTCGTGCTGCAAATTTAATAATTTCAATTCAAAATATTCGACACAAACAAATCTCTTTCGAAGCAACCATTGAACGTTATGACGTGATTTTTTGTTTTGTTTTACCCTTTGATTTATTGTTAAACTGCTGAAAAAGTCTGAATCGAGGTGGAATTGATCTTTACGAATAATAAATAATACAAAAATCGGGATTCTACAATTTCTGTATGCCCATGCAGATTAGTCAAAACTTCCAGAACAACATAAAAATGCTCTAAATAAGATTTAGATGACTAAAAGAGAAACTAAAAATGATCAAAAATACCTTCTTGATGCAAAATAACTAGTCCAAAGACAACATTGCTGAAGCTCATTTGTTTGATTTTTAGTGTTTTTTTTTAGGACAATGGAATCCTTTTTCGAACCGACATGTCGGGTATCATGATCCCCTTCTCGGTCACCGTGCGCGCATATCATCGATCGTGCGCGCATTCATTGGTACAAGTACACACGGTTTATAAATATTGCATTGTCCTAACAAAAAACGCTTAAAATTCGACCATATTATATGAGCTTCAATGTTGACTTTGGACTAGTTATTCTGCATCAAGAAGGTATTTGTGATCATTTCTCTTTCAGTCATTTTAATCTTATTAAGGCCTAGATCTCTAGTGCATCGTTCGGGGCATCTTAAGGATGTTCTCGATGTTTTGACATCATAATATAAATAGACTAGGCGCGCCTAATCGGTCTAGGTCTAGAGTCTAGACTAGATCTAGGGCAGATTCTACCCAAAACTCTACTAGATCTAGGTCTAGAGTTCCGGCTTAATACACTCGTCGGCTCTTAATTATACTAATCCATGATTGTCTTATAAATATAGATTATTCTAATCCAACCTTAGGCCTACAGTTTTATTTTATCTCGCATTTGTTTACATCGTTGGGACGCAATTTGAAAATGTGTATTGCACTCACAGTTTCAAAACTACGTGAGCATAACGTCAAACTAAAGGTATGGGGCTACTATATTTGTTTTCCTCTGCAACAAAGTGATACGTCTTGATTTACTTTGGCAACTTTTTAGTTTCAAGGATTGTCGTACTATACAAATCACACAATCTTATATAAAATATAAAATCTTAAGACTTAGAAAATATTAGGCATAAAGATTCAATAAGCAAATGAAGTATCCAAATTAATGTTCAAACTTGCCGAAGGCATAAAATCGCAAGGCCCACTTTTATCCGCAAGCGATGTGTGTGTCTCTCCAATGTTGGAGTCAATGCAAATCGCTGTTTGTTTGTTATTTAAAAAAAAGACAGCGATGACAAACAAATCATCGTCGCCATGATTGTGAAAGGTTTTTTTCTTTCCACAAGAGCTCTCTCCGGTCTCATTATTTGCAATAATTCGTCGTAATGTCTTTTAATGTTGTCTTCTTCTCCTCTGAATATCCAACAAATAGTTAGACCTGACTTAAGCCAGACTTAAACTAGGTGTACCCCAGGTTTAAATATGTGTACAATTTCCACAGAGTTAGACCAGGCTTAAACCTAGGTTTAAGTTAAACCCGACTTCAGAAACGCAAAATTAAACCTAGGTTTAAATCTGAGAGTTAGGCGAGGCTTAGACTAGACTTAAACCTAGGTTTAAAGTTAAACCTGACTTCAGAATACGGGCCACTCACTTTAGGGCACAGAAATTTGCTCAAATTTGCAACAAATACATGCATTGTAAACATAAGCTTGCAGATCTGCTTGGATGCAGCAAAGTTAAAGGCACAACTACTGTCCTCTGATAAATGAATTTTCACACAGCATGAAAACAATGAATAAGATGAAAAATATCTTACTTAGATCCATATTTGTTAACGATTTGACGAAGGCACTGATCCGATACAGATTGACATCCATTCAAGCAAATAGTCTCCAATCTGGGAACAGAGAAAAGACAGATAATACTTTATTTCATTTGCTGCAATACTTGTTGCACCAACTACTGGCATTGCAATTGTTTTGGTTATGATCTAGTTCAAACACAGAATGTGTATTTTATTTTTTAGAATTTTCAATCAATTTTCAAGATCAAATTTGAAACTTTAAAAAATTGTCTGCAAGATAAGCATAATTTCAAGGCTAGTTTTCCCACAGTAGGGAATGAATTACCAAATTAATAGTACCCACTGTGGTCCTGATATACATTGACCCATCTGACCCATCACCTTTGCTTACCTTGGACATACATCCAGTATAGCAGAGAGACCATTGTCAGTGACAGCACACCAATTAGCATCCAAACAGATCAGATTATATTTCTGTATTTTGACTTTGTTACTCTGACCCTATGACCTTTGCTTAACTGAGACGCCCATTCAGTTTAGCAGAGAGACCATAGCCAGAGACAGCACACCTGCTAGCATCCAAGGAGATGAAGTAATTTACCTCTACCCAGGCTTAGTTTTAGTATTGACGATAAACTCTACATGAATACCATGACCCCTATGACACCTCAACTCTGACCCTGTTTACCTTGGGCATCCATCCAGGATAGCAGAGAGACCGTTGTCAGTGACAGCACACCAGCTGGTATCCAAGGAGATCAGGTTGAAGCATCTGGAGACATGGAGCAGGATGGAGTCTCCCTGGAGCTCACCCTTGGAGCAACCTGTAACGTTCAGCTCCTATAAATATAAACAAGTTAAAAGTTAAAAAGAGGGAAAGTCCCACAGGTAAAACAACTTTCTGATTGTTAAACAATAAAAATTCAATTAACTAAATTCTCCTTTCAGAAAGCCGAATTGAGGAAGAAATCATTAGTTGCTTTTGTATTTCAAATGGTTTCATAATCTACATGTACATTGACTTTCACTTTAGTGTCCATGCTCCTTGTTATAAGAAGATATCATATGTCTTCTTTACCTAGAGTATCCTCATCAGTATCAATGCTAGTCTCCCTGCAATCATATTATTACTTTAACCTAGCTACCATGAGAAGGCTTCAAGCATGCAAGAAATTTCTTAATACTGGGTACCCAATTACTAAACCTGGGTGGAGAGTGGCAAATGTTGTCTACACTATCGTTGCTTTAGCCCCATATTCCTTTTTCAATCTAAACATCTTCTTCAACAATTTTTTTTAAAGCCAACCCAGATAGAGTTCAGATTCAAGACTTCTGTAGATACACACCTGTAATGAATCAGCACATGACCTAAAGAGATTGCGCAATCCATTCTCTGTGACGAGATTACCACGGCACTTATGAAGCGTCAGGCTGACCGGGTGCTTCTCTCCTATGTAAGTCAGATAGAAGTCCGTCAAATCTCTGTTCTCCAATCTAATGGTTCGCCCTGAAATTGGGACAAAATGGTTGAATTGAAACTAATTATCTTGAGTTTGAAAGACATCTTCAGCTTGTTTGGTGATGTAAATGGGTACCTGGCAGAAATTGATTCCTTGAAATGTTAGAGCCCCGCAGTGACTGCGTTGTTAAAACCAGGGTAATAAGCGGGGCAGTGCCAGGAGCGTCACAACATGACGGACATGTGCGCTATATAAGAAGCCACCATTATTATTATTATTATTATATTATGAGAAGAGAAGGCACAGAAAACAGGATATACAGGAAATAAAGAGGAAAAGAGAAGTAGAGGGAGACAAGGCATCAAATACATTGTACATATGGTTTGGGCTGACTGGTAACAGAAGCAACATGACATATATATTACAACGAGCCAGAGATAGAAGTAGATGGATAGCCTTGTTCGCCAAATTCTGGAACATACAAGGCACCAAGCAGAATCTTGAGTTTGAGTGATGGTGCTGTATTTCAAGAGAAGCTACCACAGATTTGTGGTTTTTGCAATAAAAAAATGAAAACCAGCTTCGGTAAAGAAATTATCACCTCCACTAAAACCTTATGTTTCAGTCCTTGACAAACGATTGGGGTATCAAGATCAATTTTCTTCATTTTATTTTGCTCAATCCTCAGACATTTCACAAAGAGTATACTGTACATTCAAACTGAAAAGCTTTGGCAAAAATCATTCGCAGTGTAAAAGAGTTCATGTAGCTTTTGTTTGAAAGTCATTTTCCATCTGCAGAACTCTGGAATACCTAATAAGTACATTCCTTTACAGACAGTTTAATACTCAATGATAGAAACAGAGCTATACATGTATCAAAGACAAATGGACGCAAAATGAGATAGACAAAGACTAAAAGAGAAGGGTTGGGACATAAAAGTGAGAAAGAGAAGAGAGAGAAAAGAGGGGAGGGGGAGAGAAAGAGAGAAAGAGAAGAAAAAAAGAGGAAAAGAAGAGAAAGAGAAAGAGAGAGAGAGAAGAGAAAGAGAAAGAGAGAGAGGGAAGAGAAAGAGAAAGAGAGAGAGAGAAGAGAAAGAGAAAGAGAGAGAGAGAGGAGAGAAAGAGAGAAAGACAAAGAGAGAAGAATAACTTACACAGAGAGTCATCCATTGCAATCCTATGGAAGCGTTGGCATGTTAGAGCACACATGACTAGCTTGTGTTGTGGAAGATAGGAGAAGATGTGTAGAAGAATCTCATCAGGGAGCAGCTGCCAAATGGACAGAGATTCTGAACCTCTAGGACTCTGACAAAAAAGAGAGAGAAAAAAAGAATAAACATAGCACAGCTACTACATGAATATATTCTACACCACGTAATACAAAGTATAATATCATTACCTCGGCTGTATCCGAGCCGCCATAACAAGGTGCATTAAAGCATTAATGTCATATTATTATTTTGTCATACTGTGCTCTATTCTGTAGTCTATTACTTCGCAGTCTTCATATTCTTCTCTATAATCTTTAATTTTGTTAATTTTATAGACCAACAACGAAATGTAATATGATAATTGTATAATTATTTGTTTATTGTTTTGTATTTTGTACATTTTCCCACTTATTTGTACCATTGTAGTAAAATATATCTCAAAAAACATCTCCATATACCGGTATTCAATTGCATTTTATCTCAAAAAATTCTACCCTACTATGTAAAATTCATAGAGACCTTTTGAGTACACATATAATGCCCTACAGTGTGTACCGGTATATAATAATCTACTTATTATTTCCTCTCATGCTCCTTTTCATTGCTACTCACATCTTGAATGAGTTGTAAAGTTAAAGGAGGTACGCCAACAGATCCTCTTCCGTCGAGCACTCGTGATACAGTTCCATCTAGAGAAAGGGGAAAAAATAATAATGAATGATTGCAATTAAGTTTGATACAGAAACTTTGCAGATATTGAAAACAATAAATTTTGTTAATTACATGAAAGGTCCATATTTTTCTGTATTCTGAGCTGCACAAAATTCAATTGTTATTCATTTTATTCTCTTTTAGAATTGAAGGTAATTTCTTTGAGATATCCAAATCTAAACACATCTCTTCTTCCCTACCCTTTCCCCTTTTTGTGCTGTGAAACTGTTTGCTTTTCTTCCTCTCATCATTTGGAGATATACTGTATGTATACGGCCAAAAATATTTTCAAAAGTATAACTGATTCTTGCTTGTCTATATTACATCTTAATGTTAGAAGTCTCAACAAGAATTATGAACAGTTTCGTTCGTTTCTAGATAACACAGGAGTTCCCAAAAATACAGTATTAGGCGTAACTGAGACGTGGCTTTCAGATCAAAATAATACACTGTTTTCTCTCCCTGGATATGATATACTTACAAATAATCGTACAAACAAAATAGGTGGTGGTGTTGCATTCTTTGTGCCAAGTCAATTTGAATATGTTGTAATCGAAGACATGAAAGTGATGAATGAAATTGCAGAAACTTTGTTTATTGAAATTACTGATCGCAATAGAAGAAAAACTATCTTGGGAGTTGTTTATAAGCCACCTCAGAGCAACCATGCTGATTTTCTGGACACTTTGAATAATTTATTACACTATCACTCCGTTCAAAACAAAAAGTGTATCATAATGGGAGATTTCAACTATGATCTCTTAACGAGTGATGCTAATATTCATGCACATGATTTTTTAGAGACATTCCTCTCTGCCTCTTTCTTGCCACTTATTTCTAGACCCACTAGAATAACCAATACTTCGGCAACTCTTATTGACAACTTTTTTTCAAATGTACGCTCTGAATTTAAAGCTGGCATAGTTCTGTCAGATATTTCTGATCATTTCCCGATTTTCATGTATTATTCAGAACGATTTCAGGCAAATAACTCTCCTAGTGATGCACCTAAAAGACGTGTATATAATGACGAAAACCTATGTGGATTGAAACTAAGCCTAGAAGAAGAATCTTGGGATGACGTATTTAATACAGATGATGTTAACCAGTCGTATGAAATCTTTATTGGAATTTTTATGTCTCATGTAAATCGAAATATTCCTTTTTCTAAACCCAAGTCTAAAAATTATAAGAAGTCACCCAGACTACCTTGGATAACGAATTCGATTCTACGTTCAATAAATCGAAAAAATAAATTATACTATAAATATATATCTAAATTAACTGATCAAACACGGATCCAGTATACTAATTATAAGAATAAACTTACAGGAGTGATACGTACTGCTAAAAAAGATTATTATCATGATCAATTCAATCGTTGCAAAAATGATCTTAAAAGAACATGGAAGATCATCAATTCTACTATCAACAATGGATCAAAGCATTCTAAGATTACTAAGCTTAGACATAATGATGCAATAGTTGAAGATGAAGTTCAGTTGGCAGATATTTTCAACAATTATTTTTCTCAAGTTGGTTTTAATCTTGCTAGGCACATACCATCCACGTACCGTTCATTTCACCACTATTTGGGGGAGAGAAATAAAAGTTCTATATTTTTCTCTCCTACGTACCCACAAGAGATAATTAAGATTATATCTGGCCTAAAAATAAATAAGAGTGCAGGATTTGATGAAATTGATAACAACCTTTTACAGAAAACTATGAATTATATTGTTGATCCTCTCGTTTATATATTTAATTTGTCATTATTATCTGGACATATTCCAGAATCAATGAAAATTTCGAAAATAATCCCAATTTTCAAAAAGGGTGACAGTACATTAACAAGTAATTATAGACCAATCTCATTGCTTACAACCTTGTCTAAAATCCTTGAAAAGTTGGTCCACATACGGACCATGAGTTTCTTTAAAAAGCACAACATCCTCTCTGATACTCAATTTGGCTTCCGAGAAAAGAGTAGCACTACCCATGCCATACTTTCTTTAGTTCAAACGGTTGCCAAAGCTATCGATCAGTCTTCTAATACGGTTGGTTTGTTCATAGATTTTTCTAAAGCATTTGATACTGTTGATCATGATGTACTTCTTTACAAACTTTCTCACTATGGAATTAGGGGAAAACCGTTGACGTGGTTCAAGAATTATCTTAAAGGGCGCTCCCAGTTTGTTTCGCTGAATGGTAATTTCTCTGAAAGTAAACCTGTCCTTTGCGGAGTTCCGCAAGGAAGTATTCTTGGCCCACTTTTGTTTATTATTTATATAAACGACATCGAGAGGTCATCTTGTCTGCTTCAATTTATACTTTTTGCTGACGACTCAAATATTTTTTTGTCACATCGCGATCCAGAGCAATTGACGCAAATACTAAATAACGAACTTAAAAGTGTGGCAAATTGGATAAAAGCAAACAAACTGTCACTTAACTTAGACAAAACTAGTTACATGCTATTTAGTAATAAGGTTGCAACTTTGCCTAATTGTATAATTTTTGATGGTACTGTCATTCATAGGGCCCGAACAACTAAATTTTTGGGGCTAGTTATTGATGAAAAACTATCTTGGAAAGCGCACACTGACAATATCTGCAAAATCATTGCTCGCAACACTGGTATCCTTAGTAAATTAAGACACTTCCTACCCCATTATATTATGTTATCCTTGTATTCTACGCTTATTCTTCCTTACTTGAATTACGGACTTATTGCCTGGGGCAGTGTAGCAACTTCCCAAATTAATAGACTCTTTATATTACAAAAAAGAGCGATTCGTATTATTAATAATGCAGATTTCCGGGCACACACGAATAATCTTTTTCTGAATAATAACATTTTGAAAATTAAAGACTTGTATATTTTTCAGCTTGGACAGTTAATGTACAAGCTCAACACTAAACAATTACCTTTGCCTTTTAATGATATGTTCGTAAGAAATGATTCGATTCATAGTTACCTCACTCGCCAGGCGAGCTCTTTTCATTTACCATTAAATAGAACATCTTTTGCACAAAAGACATTTGTTTTTACAGGTCCAAAACTGTGGAATTCTCTTTCAAATGATATTATACAGTGTAATTCGATACAAATTTTCAAAAGGAGACTTAAAAGCTTTCTTCTGAATAGTTACTATGCTATTGCATTCCTCAATCAAATATAATTTGTAGTGTGACTTTATGCAACTTTGATTATTTCTTTTTATAAACATGTATGTATTTATCAATGTTTTGCGTTTAAAAGTTATTTTTTTTTGTATTACTGAATCAATTACTGTTATTATTGTTGTTTTTGTTTTGTTTTCTCATAAAATGATAATTCATGATAATTACTTTTACAGGGGGGCTTACACCCTACAAGCTCTGCTTTTTAGTCGGCCCTCCTTCCCTTTCAATTTCATGTTTATTTTTTAATGTATTGTATTGTGCAAATTGATCTATATGTATATAAATATGTGAATATGTTAAAATATACCATCATTGTAAATATGAACGATTGAAAGAGGAAAAATAAATGAATTGAATATACAGTTGCACATTTAACCCTATTTAGCCCGGGCTATTTTGAAACTGCATAGCCCAGGGGGGGGCTTCTCAGGCCCCCCCCTGTGATCTCGGCCGTGAAACGCCCGATCGCCGCGAAAATTTGCATACATGTCAAGTGAAGTGTATAGAATACTATGGTAATTTCAATTTTTTTGAAAAATTCACTCATTTGCATATTTATGGTAATTTATGCAAATAAGGTCATTAAATTCACATTTTTGCCCATAAATCAGACATTATTCATATTTAAGCATTCTTTCTCACTACATATATTTGTTAGACCATTTGGAATAATAATACAACACAAAAATTTGAAAAACCAGGGTTATTCCTTATGTTATCTATTGTTTTGATAATTTCTTATGTATTTCTTTGTTTTTTTAACTTATGTATTTTATTGTTTTTGTTGTTTTATTTCATTTCCAACTATAATTCAACTATTTTGACCCCAAAATAAACACCTAAAATCTAAACAAGACCAAATAACCAATGTTTTACCTCTTTATTTGAAAAATGAGATTTCCATATGTTTTGTACACAAATCACAAAAATGAGCGATTTTCGGGCTGACATGCGAAGACAAAAGGACACGTGACTTTGTAATGGTAGGTCCGATTTTCGAAAAATTTCTTTCAAAAGTTGCGCAAGACTCGAAAGAAAAAAGTCACAAAATTTCAGTGCAAGATTTTCTTGCGTTAAAAAATTATCGCGAAAAATGTCGAGGGGGGGGCTTCTCAAGCCCCCCCCCGGGCTAAATAGGGTTAAAGAGAAAAAAATACATTTATAAAAAATTAAAAACCTCATTTTCTCTGCTCTGGGAAATAGTATTATGGCGCCGTCTGTTAAACTACAAGAAATCTTTAAACTTGGTCAGATGCATTTCTGGATATTATAGTACAACCAATATATACATAACAAATTTGCATACAAGTACAAATATTCTACTGTGCGAATAATCAGCTACCAGTATATATTGCTGACATCAATGTTGCTTACCAAATAGCTTAGATGACCTGACTCTGACAAACTCGCCATCCCTCTTGGACATCTGAACTGCGACCGGAGGCTTGCTCTTTCCAGCAAACTCTCTGTTGACCCTTGACTGGCTAATCTTGACCTTTGACCCTGAGGCTGAAAGGTCATTGGGGGATTGGTCACCTGCAAGAAGACTTGAAGTGAGTTTATGTTGAGTCATCCATGCCATGCTGGACTGAGGCCACTTCCTGTCGTAGCTCTTGTCTGGGGACGAGTACATCTTGGAATGGGCGCTGGTGGGGCGATTGCTACCTGGTTTCTTGGTGGCAGTTCTCTTGGGGTTTGCACTGCTTGGTCGGGGTTTGCTTGCCTTGTGGATATCCTGTCTCTGCTCTTGAGGGTCTCTACCGTCTTGACGCACCGTGAAGTTTACTCCATTCTGCCCAATGGTATCACTCACAGTGTCTTGGCTTTCGAAGGCCACACTTCTTGACGCTCCTGGAGGGTTGAAGTTTGAAATTCTGTCCAGGACTTCATTCACATCTTCCAAGGGTGCTTCACGCCTGGGCGAGTGATTAAATGGGGCTCCAACTTCAACATCTAAAAGACTATCACCAAGACTGTCGCCAAGGTGGACGATTCCTTCAGCACCTGGTCTATCAGTATCCATGTTGGACGGTAAGCTCAGTCTCAGAGATGATTGGTTGTCACCAGTCGAGGAGGACTCAGATGCTAGATTGCCGACTGGTGACGCTATAGCTCTAGGTGAGGAAAGCTTCCTCATTCTTCTGTCCTTCTCGTGGTAGTTCCTGACTTCATATCTGTGGGCATCTGGAGTCCTAGGACTCTTCCTGGGTCTCGATTTCTGTGGAGAGCTCCGACTCAGCTTTGGAGAACCCCTACTGGGTGTCATCAACCTAGTGTTGCTTGGCTTCGAGGATGGAGGCGGTTTGGGTTGCTTCCTGGCTGATGCCAAGTCCACTTCAAAAGCAATACCATGCTTGGAATTTCCTGGACCTTGATTAGGTTGTGGTACAAATGCACTGTATGCGTTGGCGCCACTTAAATCATGTCCTGTGTCTTGAGGATCAAAGACAAATGAGACACCGTACTTGGAGCGCTGAATTTGGGAATGGAACGGAGTATTGACGTTGGGATCTGCAATATCACCTTTGGTTGGCTCTTCAGTCATATCATAGGTTCTCCTTAATGGTTCGGCTTCAGCTCTTGCAGGTCTTGAAGCTGTGGGCATATCCAATATTTCTTCAATCAGATCTGCAGAGTCTACATGGCTGGTTGTCAGAACACCCACCTTGCTGTAAGTGTAGTCTCTCACTTCCTCCAGTGGCAAAACGATCCGACTGTCCAGACGGAAAGTTTCAAGACCAAGATCCGAATCATCCAGGGTTCCATTGACCAGCTTGAAGCCAGCATCATCGGTTGAAGAATCGGCACCATGACTCAACAGATCAGAAGATCCTTCAAGCTGACTTCTCAGAGGATTTGTGAATGATGAATCGTTGTTATCAAACAGTCCAAGTTTTTCTAAAAGATCGGCAGTTACGGCTGGTTCTTTGACCTTGCTGACAACACTTGCATTGTCATCTTGAAAGCTCTCTTGAACATTAAATACTCTCTGATCAAATTCTGTTTCCTTATCTTCTAGACTCACATTGTCTTTTTGATAATCAATTATTGCTTCAAAACTGACTGATGGTTCTGTGTCTCTATATCCAATAGAATCTTTGGCAGAACCAAAATGATTTTTGTATGGAGCATGCTTTGGGGAGGGCGGATGGTCATGGTCCATCTCCACTATTCCATTCGTTGAAGCATTCTGTAAGTTTACCTTGTCCTCAACAAATATGGGTTCTACTTCTTTCTTCCTCATATAGTCACTCTCACTATACAAAGCCAAATAACTCTGCTCAGCTGGAGGTACTGCCACTTTTTCATGTACAGAAGCAGCCGCCGTTTTCTCATCAAACTTTCTCTCAGGCATCTTTGGAGCAAACAGAGAATCAATCTTTCCAGAACTTCTTGTAGAACCCTCTCCGAGAACAGTTTCGCTGGGATTACTCTCTTTGCCTTTCTTGGCCTTGACCTTCTCGGTCAATCCCTGGATGTATTGCCTCAGTATGTCATCTCCTTGCTTGGCAGCATTGCACAAGGCACCAACATCAAAATTTAGATCGTCCATCTCTACCCCGCTCTCTTCCCCTTCATCCTTGTTTCCGGCTACAGAACCATCACCATCAAGCCTCCCATCAGTAGGAATTGACTCTACCCTAACATTTTCCTGTTTCTCCTGCTGGGTTGCCCAGTAAGCAGAGACATCATCTGATGCTGATGGAATTGAAGACAATGCCTTCTCTTGTTCCGTTTCATCGGTGCATTCTTCATGTTCATTGTCCAATTCTACTGATGTTGTGTGGTGGAACTTCAACAGAGCACTGTCCATCTCCACCTCGTTTCCATTAAGGTCTGGTCCTCCCCGGTTCAGTATCTGATCTCTTGGTCTAGAACTATTCCTTTTACGAGTGAGTATCGACTCATAGCCATCATTTTCCAGAAAGGATGACAGGAGTTCGTCGTGCAGTTTGGCTTTGACCTTGCGGCTACCAAGCAAGGACTGGAGCATGTTCTCTGCCGAGTACGCACTGTGAAACTCGGATGCCTGTAGTGCCTCGCTTTCGACCTTTGAACCCAACTGTGACCGGACACGCCTTGATATGCCATTCTCCAGGCTGGCCTTACTCCTCGATCCATATGGATCATCCCTGTAGGGTCTGCTCTCTGGTACTACTTGATGGCTCTTCGCTTCATTCCTAAAGAAATTGTACGTCCTGGGCCCTCCTGCATCTTGTCCACCTTCACTAGAAGATGGGGACAGGTCGTTGCCAGACTGTTGCCGAATTTCACGTAATCTAAAGAAGTCTTGCAATTCACGGTCACTAAGCCTACTCTTACTCCCAGATGTTTCTTTCTTAGCATAATGTGAGCTCACATGGGTTTCTTTCCTAAAATCCGCAAATTCAGACTGTCTCCTTGCATTCTCATTATCACTTCTGTACGCACTGGCTGTTGATGGTCTCTGGACAGCGTGGTCAGTAGTTGGATCCCTCTGAGGCCTCTTGGGTCTGGCACCCGCTTTGGCGCTAGAAGGCCTCAAATTAGATCCAGTAAGCCTTGCACTGTCTGCAATGTCTAACCTGTATTGGTCGCCATGGGCAGAGGGAACCGCACTTGATGGTCTGTTCTTCTTTCGTCTAAGAGGCGTCACATTTGCGCAGTCATCGCCCGAAGGACCTGGAGGATATCGGAGACCTTGTCTGGGGACACCTGATCGTGCAGAAGATGGACGGCCACTCCTAACACTCAATCCACTTGCTGTTAATCTGTCATCTCTTCCATTATCGTGAGTTATTTGTTGTCTGTAAATGTGTGTACTTCTATCTTTTTTATCCCTCCCTATTTTTGTTTTATCTTTGTAAGGATTCTTTGACGGGCTCTTGGCTCGGTAAACTGCTTCCTCTTGAAGTTTGGGTGGATGAGAACTTGAGCCCTGATTCTCAAAGTACGCTAGCCTCTTCTCCCTCACTTCTCTCCTCAGCTTGGTTCTTGATGTCTCCATTGCTCAATCCATTCAGTTACCTCTCCTATTCCTAAAAATATGCAAAATATGCAAAAAAGAGAAAAGAGACATTAAACAAGAAAGGGAATTACATATATGTACAAACTTTTGTCTCCGAGAATGAATTCAATTTATCAAATGAAATGCAGTGCATATGCTTTTTGCAAAGGGCAAAGTCATACCACCCACACAGGCGCGCACAAATGTTTGTTGATATTTGATATTCGATATTTAATATATGTGGCATGATTAATTTTGTTAGGGATGTTATTTGGATCTGCAAAGACCGAATTAATACCCAAATCTAAATTGTTTTATTCAAACATCACATAAGCAACTTTGGCGCAAGTCGATTTTTGCACTCTCGCAAACAATGCCTCCTGTTCATCCAAGCGTGAACACATACCACACAAAAATGGTACTAAATGATTTGGAATAAAACACTCTTTCATACGATGTATAATAATTTACTGTTCATAGATGATTTTTAAAATAATTACAAATTGTCTAGGTGTAAACTTTTTTTTGACTCACTCTGTATGGATCAAATTTGACAAATAATATATAAATACAGATCTAGATCTCTAGGCCATCACAATTCACATTCTATTTCTTACTTTTTGTTTACGCATATATCAATCATTGTCCATTGTCAGCCCGCCCCCTTTAATACAAAGTTGCCCTCAATTGGTCATGTCGCCCCAATTTATTTTTTGGCGATTTTGGGATTCTCGGTCAGCGCGTGCTCGCCCCAATTTTTTTGGTCATTTCGCCCCCTAGTGTGTTGATTAATTTGATGTCTTTTACAAGTTCAAAGTCACCCTAACCTTACCCTTACTCTAGCCCTAACCCTAGCACACCGGGCCCCGTCTGACCCTAAAGACAGCGGGTCCCGCGTTGGGTGCACTGCCGCGCTAGCGTACTGCCTTTGTAGTACTTGGCCTTGGGGTGTGACCGTCTGTATAGGCGACCCGACCACACAATTTCGGGGAGACTACGTATAGACCCTAAGAGGCGATTACAAATCTTTATCCTCAGTTTTCTTATTTATAACTGATTTTCCTTATAAAATTAAAAATAATTATGGCGTATATATTCAACATTGAATGAACGCCAATAAACAATTACCCAACAACAACAACAACCTAAGAGGCGACTGGCTGGGCGACCTGACCAGGCCTGTCACCAATCAATCATTCATTCATTCATTGTCCACGACTCCACTGGCCAAGACCATTATTACTACAATTCACCCCGACCCCATGCCATGGCCATGCACACAATTAATACTGTAGGCATGGTAGGGTCTAGTCTGACGTTGTACGTCTGTATACTGGTAGATCCATGACAATTAAGTATTAAGTAAGGCTTGGTGATATCATTATCAACATCATATTTCTAAAATCACCAAACCCATAGCCGTACGGGGCGGCTTTACTGGCCAGTATAGTAGTACCAGTGCAGTGCAGTGTATTTGCGTGCTCAGCTCAGCTCAGCTAGCTCCGCCGCGCTAGGCCGCTTCGCCCCCGCAGACCAAAGAGCAGCGGGAGAGTAGCGGCGTAGCTCAGAGAGCTCCCCTACCACTAGTGCAGTCAGTCAGTCTACAGCAAAAATGACACCGTAAGATCACTGATCAGGTCCAAGCAAGCGCTAGCACGTCGCGAGTTGATTGATCTTAGGGTTGCCTGAACAATACTTATGTCATCACTTACCATTTAATTCATCTGCAGAGTCGTAATAGATGTTTGACTGTTGATATGATGGGCGAAGAAAAATTAATGTACGGGCCAGGCGCCATATATTGTTTGGACGGTTGTTATAGTCGTCCATTCCCACAATGCATTGCGAGACTAATTGATTGACGTGACAGGTGTGTGTATAAACAGCTCCAAAAATATCTGATTCTGAACTATTACCGGTTTCAATATATTTCTTTAGATATAAATGTATGTTAATAAATACATTTAATTTATTTCTTCAGATACTGAAACCGGTAATAAAACTGCTGGATTAATTTGTAGCATGCAATATGCATATTAAATTCTCTTCCTTTGATCTTCTCTCTCTCTCTCTCTCTCTCTCTCTCTCTCTCTTGTTCTCCATCATCTCATTGTCTAAATTCTTATTCTTTGTCCTTGTATTTGTGCTCACCCGCATTTTGTCTCTTTTAAGCTTGCCTAGTTCTAGCCCTGACCTCCAAAAATCCATTATATTTTCCAAAGGTAACCTCCCTCCTTCACTATATGCATACCTATACTTCTTCCTCTTATTCTTCTTTTTGTTCTTCTAAATTCTTTTTCGTATTTCACCTTCTTCTTCTTTTGTTTATGCTTCTTTCACCTTCTTCTTCTCCTTCCTTATCTCCCCTCCAATTCTTCTTTCCTTCTTCTTTTTCCCCTTGTAGTTATACTACCTTAATTAGAATTGCCTCTCACATACCTCTTGTTACAGTCTCCTTGCTAAACGAGAGGGGGGGGGGGGGGGGGGGGGGGTTGTTCATTGTAACATTTAGTATATTTACCCCCTCAAACCAAATATCCATTTTGAGATACGTGCTACTACAGACTGCCATCCCAACCCCCCCCCCCCCCCAAAAAAAAAAAATAAATAATAATAATAATAATAATAATAATAAAACAAAAATAAAAAATAAATAAATAAAAAATAAATAAATAAATAAATAAAAAAATTAATTTAAAATTTAAAATTTAAAAAAAAAATACAATAAAAGCACCCATAGTAAATGATAAATAAAATGATAGATAAAATAGCAAACATAATGGAATAATGGACTAAATAAAAGTAACTTGACATGGCTTGTATTATTCTGATGTTTTTATTGTATATACCAACCACATACAGCATAGTCATATATATTAAATTCTATTTCAAATGACTCCGTCCTCCTGCATTAGAAATACCAAAACGTATTTCATAACAAGACGAAAAGTACAGAAGAAAACAAATGTACACAAACATATACATTCAAAGTGAAATACCATGGCAATTGTATTAGTTAATACAAATTAATGTCTATTGTATTGGTCAAACTTTGAATATAACATTGATAGCAATATTATCTGAACTTTTTCTTGGTATATATGTTTCAATAGGAAAGTAATGAATTCAGTGGTAGTCATATTCAGCAGTGAAGAGCTTACATGCACATGTATGTTGATATCTCTACCAGTCAATGATCAATCTTTAGCCCAACCAAAACACACGATCTTCCTGTGATCCCGGGAATCAGATTATTATTATAGTATTAGATATGGAAATCTAAACAAACATCATCTTCCTGATTTAGGTTCTAAATGATGAAAAGAAAGTAACAAATGAAATTATATTGTATTTAACTCTCCTGGTCAAAATAAAAGCACAATCGGCTTCAGATCATAGACAATCCCACTATTAGTCTGAAGTCACTATGATTTTGAGCTGAATTAGCTGGTCCTCCTCACAGAAAATTCAAAATCCTTTGTTTTGAAATTTAGATTTCATTATTCATATGACAATTCAGATCCTTCATCATTAAGAATTTACATGCTTTAATGTTAATAACAAATGCTACTACAATTTCTTCTAACATCAAATCACAGTCGGATCGTGGAGTGTACTGCACCAGGGGGGTGTTTCACAAAGATCCTAAGTAGAACTTAACTCTAAGTTGGACTTAAAAATTATGGAAAGCCATTAGCATCTTTGAAAATATTTGGTAAAAATATTTTTGAAAGGCATAAAATGTTTATTCAAATCATTCATATTTTCTATCATTAAGGAGATTTCATATTCTTGTTGTGGAATTTATAAAATGTCTCAAATACTTGAATTTCTGCTTTTGAGTATATTTCATTTTAAGGCTCCAATGGCTGTCCATAATTTTTAAGTCAAACTAAGTGTTAAGTTCTACTTAGGATCTTTGTGAAACACCCCCCTGGTAGTAAGCAAAAACTGGCATAACTTTGTAGAGCTTGTGATCATGCTGTCAACAATCAGAATTTGTAGGAAATTCAAGAAAGACTTTGAAACGTGAATAACCAGCTGATTTTAGATGAAAAGAAAAATGAAAAGAAAGTTTCCCAATAATGGATGGTATATGTAAACAAAATTTGACAGGCTTCTTATTTTTCTACCATCTATACATGTACAATAACGTTTCATGATGCACCTTTATGTGAAATCTCAAGTCTGGAAAGGTTTTAACCTCAAGAATCTCGTTCACAGCCTATACTTTTCCCAGAAATTTCCCAAATCACTTTCTTAAAGCGATGGGATTTTGTGTTAGTGCTTCTAGTAAAGTATGGCTTTTAGCTTCTTCTTTTTAATCATTAAGAAAGAGGAAAGGAAAGCTTAAGAAAGGAGTCATTCTTAAACTTTCTTTTTTTCCCCTCGTTTTTTACTTACTTGTCGTCGCCATTTCTCGATTAATTTCATTTTTAGATTGTGTTCTTCTCTTCAGCTAAATACCACATCATATTCTAAAATCTTACCAACCTATTTCGCTTCCTTCCCCATCTATTTCATTATATTATATTTCTATAATTTATAATAATGAATACAAAGCTATAATAATTATAAATAAGAATAAAATAGTTCATGTAAAAAAAGGAAATATACAAAATACAACTTATACATACACTGTTATCTGGCAATGATAATTTCTATGATAAACAAAGAGACATATAGTGTAATACTTGTGTGTCTATCATGTCATAATCATGATACAAAACAATCAAAAAAGAATTCTCAGAAGGAAAACAACTAATGAAAAACTTGAACATCAAATAAAAGAGTACTTCTTAAAACCAGTTTACAGCATCTTAAGGCTTAGCTACCTAATTTTCTGTCTTTTAATCTTTGGGCCTTTTTTCCCCAAGTAAAAGATGCTAACTGAAGATACGAGAGAATCTGACATCGCCCAGGGCGCTGGAGGTCAGAAGGCTCGAAAGTGAGCCAAAAGGGAAATGAAACGTCCAATCCGACAGTGTGGGGGGACTTTCTGAGTGGCCTTTGTCGAGGAACAAAAATTGTCCTATAGTTTTCCTTGATACAGCATACTGGTATAGTTATCGCTATATGTGAGTTTGTAAATAGTTATACAATAATCATCACAATAACATATTCATATCTAACAATAATGATAAACAATTTCCTTTTCATGTAACATACATAATGGAACATATTCATGGATATTTGACACATAATAATAGAAAGAATTGCACATTATGGTATATCTTTAATATGAGAATATGAAAGTTGCTATACAATATTCACATGGCTTACTACATAGCTAAACACAGTTTTGTAATTTACAAAATATAAATGCTTTAATCAATACGTATAGGAAAGTCAGTTGAGTGTGGAAAGTGGTCATAAATAACAAAAGCCTAATCTACAGTGCATCCCAGAAAAAACGAAACCGAGAACTATCAATGTTTTATCATAACTAAATCACAATTATAATTATTAAATGACACATATTTGGAAAGCTTAACCCTTACTGTACTGGGCTATTTCGAGCACTCTCTGACTGGGGGGGGGGGGGGGGGGGGGCCTGGGAGGCCCCCCCCCCCCTATGATCTCGGCCGTCGAATGTCCGACGAACGCGAAAATTTGCATGTTTGTGGATATTTACGTAAGGAACAAGATGGTATATTTAGTTTTTCGCTAATATGCAATTTTTTGTTGTTATAGCCTAATTAATTATGCAAAATGCTAATTTTATGCATTTTACAGAAAACTCTACATATTTGTCCGTAGAATTGTGAAGAATCTTGAAAATGTATTGAATAAATGTTTCCTTCATCTCAAATTCATGAGGTTTCATTATTTTTATGATATTTGAAAATCAATAGGTTAATTTGCATAAATTATGAATATGCATTCATGAATATCAAATCCGGAAATATATATCGGGAACTAGAATCCTTACAAAAATTTTCAGACTCCACTTTTTGAATGTTGGTACTCATTATTCAAATGAAACTTCTTTTCTATCACAAAAAAGTTATTTGAAGTAATTAATAATGATAATTTATGCAAATTTGATGCGATTTTCAACTATTTATTTTCTTATGTATTTTATTGTTTTTTATTTCTTATTATATCTATTGTTTTATTTCTAATGTATTCTTTTGTTCTGAAATACATCAAGTTACTTTGAGAAACATATAAAAGCAATTTGATATCAATTCATAGCTTCACATTTCTGCTTGTACATGAATATATGCAATTATAGCACTTTTTTGATGACATGCGCATACTAATTGTTATGTAACACCTTATAGGTATATCCGATTTTGACGAAAATGGTATCAAAATGTGCGTAAGACTTGAGGGAAAAAAGTCATAAAACAACAATTCAAAATTCCAAGCGGTTGCGGCGCAATCTCCGAAAATGTTGAGGGGGGGGGGGCCTCCCAGGCCCCCCCCCCCCCCAGTACAGTAAGGGTTAAATCCTCCTCTTTCATTTGATGCAACTCAAATGATGAATGTTTCACGCATGAGTGATTAAAAGCAATTTGAAGAGAGGAAACCAATTATGATTGTGATTAAGTTATGATAAAACATCGATAATTCTCGGTTTTGTTTTTTCTGGGACGCACTGTATAGTTTCCATTTTGTGTAGGATTATGTAAAACTATTGATAAATCTATTTATAATGATAATAATAATAATATTCAGCTTTTATATAACGCTTAATACAATGTCTCTAAGCGCTTTACAGATATACTTCTACCCTGGTCATTGGATTCAGTGCTTGCACGCACACAATGTGTGCACAATCTCCACTCCCTGGGGAGCATTCCAGCCAGCCTTGATAATCAAAGCATCCCAACATTTTCCTTAGTTATGCTTTGCATGACTTGTGTCTTTACTACTTTTAACCTACTGACTACTGACTCTCTCTCTCCCATAGTTATAATACAGGGACCACTTGGGTCCAGTAGGCAATGGGTTCAAAATGAAATATTTTATCACATTCCTTTATTTTTAGATTTTATTGCTTAATCTAGCAGTTTAGTGATGTTTTAGTTTTATCTTTTGATCCAGAATGCTCTGAATTATAATTTGTACATGAGCAGGGGAGTGTTTCACAAAGACTAAGATCGACTTTAAGTTGGACTCAACTATGGCAGGCTGTTCATGCCACTGTTTGCTCTCACCATTATGATCTTTGAATAATATATTTTCCTTCAATAATTAATTATCAAAAAATGTAAATTTTGTAGATTTGTGACCATGATTTGTAATTGTATGTTCCTTAAGTTGAGATACCAGTGCCAGTACATGGTGAGAGAAAATAGTGGCATGAACGGCCTGCCATAGTCTAGCTTAAAGTCGATCTTAGTCAAAAATAGATCTCTAAGTTGGACTTAACAATTATGGAAAGCCGTTAGCATCCTTGAAAATATTTTGTAAAAGTTATTTTAAAAGGCATGAAATGTTGATTCAAATCATTCATATTTTATATTATCATGGGAGATTTCATGTTCTTGATGTGGAATTCAGCAACTGCTGAAATTCCAAATAGCTGCTGAAAAACATTGTACATTTTGTAACAACAGTGAAGAGACAATTATGCATATATTTGTTACTCCCAACATTCAAATATAATATGTTCAAAACTTGAGCAATGGATTTTCAGTAAGACCAATATAAAGACCAAACTCCCAAACCCAAATAAATTGATAGACTAAATTGGAGGTCATAACAACACTTTTAATTATTGTAAGAAAAAAGAAATCTATTCAGCCAAATGCATAAATCAGATACCACTGTTTGAAATAGTTATGTCAGCTGTTTAAAGTTATTGTGAAATGGAAAGATATGTAGCATTTTGGGTTATATGCAGACTGCCTACCTCTCTGCCGTGCGTGTATCCCTGCCTGTATCTGACGTGAAGGCAATCTGATTGCATGTAATCGAGAAGGCTTGACTCCAACTTTAATTTATCTTTAATATAAGAAGTAAAGCATAATTTGTTGATTAACGTTCTATTAGATCTTCTTCGATGTTGTATAAAACAAATAATGAATGTTTTTCATTCGTTTGATAGTGATATTGAACTCATAACCATTCATTATTTGTATAATATATCATCATTTGAACATTTATATGACAAGTCATGGAATAGTGCATATATCGATCTCTTGTGAAAATGATTATGTTGATAAGACCTAGTTTTTTAAGAATTAATTATGCTTTGTTATCTATAATTTCAATTGAAAATGTATATGTCTACAACGTGTAATATTTGAATAAAATCTTGCACCATAATTGTTTTATTATTTAAGAATGAACTAGAATGTTTTTCTATCTAGTTTCTGTTGTACTATTTTATTTTGATCTTGTCAGAATTTTTGTTTGAGGATAGTTCAATAGTAGATACATGTAATTAATTAAGCTTGTAATGCAATGTAAAGCGCATAGAGAAATACCTTGTATAATGCGCTATAAAAATATAATTTATTATTATTATTATTATTGATAACGGTACCCTGTGGAAGGGTAAATGTGTTTTTTAACAAGAAAAAAAAAAGTGATTTAATTTAAAGTAATCACTATACTCTCTGAGGCGACAATGCAGAGTGAAATTTGTCATCACCATTTTTTAGTACAAATAGCAATTTCTTGTTGATTATTTGTTATTTATTTTCAGAAAACTCCAAGCTGTTAGGGATTAATGATTGGGGATGGTGGAGGATGAAGGAACTAATAATAATAATAGTTCATTCTTTCATAGGGCTTTTTAAGGACTAGGCCTTCTCAAAGCGCTTTACAATGTATGTTTGCATAATCACTGGAAACATTCATTACAAAGGTGAGTTTTTATTAATTGAAAGAAAGACTGCCAAAATGTTACATGAATCTCATCAATAGAAACAAATTCTAAACTCACCTAGAGTTTCCAAATTTGCTGATATGGTGTAAAAAACTTGTCGAAAGATGTTTTAAATATCTGACAGAGGTTTCAACAAGCAACAAAGTAAATTTGACATTTGTTGTGATTTGAAACAAGACTTGTAAAATACCACTCTGGCCAACAACAAAAATAGAAAACGGAGAGGGGGTTATCTGTACTGGGATATGAATTCCACTGTTTTACTCTTAGGGAAATGACCATAAATTTCTCCCAATTTTTTTCTACAAATTTCAGGGATGTATTTTGTGAAATTTTACGTCAAATCAATAAACAATTAAACTACATTAACAAGCACTTCAAAATATTAATTAGTACCTTCATAGAACTATTACAGATCGATATAAATACTTTGTGACTTGACCTTTAAAATATGCATGCACATGTAGTCAATTATTGTGCAAACGTATTTATCCAAGGGTAATGAAAAATGTATCACAAATGACTTGTGTATGGCTAGAATGTATAAATCATTCCCTAAAAAAAATAAAAAATAACAAACAAGGCTTTTGAGCCTTCATAAGGAATATGAAGAACTAAAATGGTGTCCAAATTTTAGGGTGGCAAGGGAGATGTATTTTCTTCTGACTTTTTTTAAAATTAAAAAATAAAAACATTAAAAAGTAAAACATGAATTAGTTTTGTTTTCTTGTGAACTGCAACTTTTCCAGATTTGGTGGTGTCATGGGAAAGATATATTCTCATTCAGTGCCGTACCTAACTACAGCATTATTTGATATGGTTTCAATAAGAATTCATATGTGCTACCTTGAATTTCGATCTCTTTAGAGTGCAAAATACACTTAACCCCTTAAAGATAAAGTTGAAATCTGAGGGGGGTGTTTCACAAAGATCCTAAGTTGAACTTATCTCTTAATTGGACTTGGGAATTATGGAAAGCCGTTAGCATCATTGAAAATAGTTTGTAAAAGCTATTTTAAATGGCATAAAATGTTGATTCAAATCTTTCATATTTTCTATTGTCAAGGAGCTTCCATATTCTTGATGTGGAATTTATGAAAAGTCTAAAATACATGAATTTTTGCTTTTGAATTTATTTTATTTTAAGGCTACAAATGGATCTCCATAATATTAATATTAAAGTCCAACTTAGAGTTAAGTTCTACTTAGGATCTTTGTGAAACACCCCCCTGGTTATGTGATTGCATTGCGTAAGAAACTGTGCGGAAGCAATTGGAGAGGGCCGAGTGATTGGAAAAGGACGATCATGTAGCAGAGAAGTTTTGATGTATACCGTCAGGTTTGGGAATCGTCAAAATGATAAAAACTTGGCTCTGTCTTGCTAGTCACAGGTACTCTACACAGAAATGTGTACATGGGACTAGACAATATGTAATAATGCAATTATCAATAATTTCTATGTAATGATATAGGCCTTATATGTAAATTGTATGAATGTAAAAATGTAAAGCGCATAGAGAATAATCTTTGATGATTATTATGCTCTGTATAAATCACACTTATTATTATTATTATTATTATGAAAGTCACGGTCCACAACCTTTAGCTATTCCTTGTCATATTTCGAAAATGAGGGCATTTGAAGAGTCATCATTTTCAGGGGACATAGTTTCTATGATACTCTTCCACACTAACATCAAAAGAATGAACAATGTCACAGATATATTTTTCAATTTCCCCAGAACTCAAGCTTAATTATCTTTGAATTCCCAATAGCACATATCTGAGAACAGTAACAATGCAGGTATACTTATACAGGTGTAGTCTGGTTAATAATGGGTTGCAGTAAAGGCAGGTTTTGCTCATAGAATGGTGCAGCTTTTCTCCTGTAGAAAGAGAGAACACAAAAGCAAACAAAAAGTGGATAAACAATTAAAATACATATACAGTAGGCTTGCGGGTGCACCATGTGAGAGAGAGAGAGAGGGAGGATTGAGGAGTCCTCAAAAGGACTCTCGGTAATCTTTCTTGAGGGTGTGTAGTCCTAAAAAGGACTGTTTGGTGTAGTCTTGAAAAAGACTGTTGGCTATCTTTCTTAGCTTATAGTTCTAAGGAGAACTATAGCGCTTGGAGAGGATGAGTGGCGGGAGTGGCTCGACGTTTCGAACCGGTTGACTATCCGTTGTCAGGAGACTTATAATAGAATGTATACATTCAACCTTTTGTCTACGTAAACCGGGTAGCTCCTGTATTAAAGCTTGTGCGAATTAGAGAATACAGTAGTCAACAGTTTCACTTATAACTGTGGTATAGACCACATACCAAATTAGAGTTTAAAAAAAAATTGATTAAAAATAAACCCCTCAAAAAGTTCTTGAATTCAAGTTTTAGAATTGATATCTCTCTTGTCACTACATTTTCATACTTGATAATAATAATACTAAAACGGTGCTCAAAAAAGTGCTTTCCACCAAAGTCTCTAGGCCTCGTTTTTACCAATTATGTCGTCAGTGACATGAACGGCCTGCCATAGTTAAGTCCAACTTAAAGTCGGTCTTAGTCTTTGTAAAACGCCCCCTGATTTTGTAATCATAAAATGCAAGATTATGCTCACCTCTTTCCTTCTCGACCCGCTGCCATCCCCATTAGCTGCCCCTTCACCCTGCGGCCTTGGAGTTGACCTTGACGACCTTTGACCTGGCCTAGCACCGCTCTGACCTGACGGGCTACGCCGAGGTTGCTGCTGTTGTTGTTGTCCTTGTTGTTGTTGCTGTTCTTGATCGTTTTGACTGATCTGCTGTGCTATCCGGTAATCCTCCTCCTGCTGTAGCTGCATTGCCAATTGGTGGCTGTGGGATATCAATGAAATCGAGTTTGAGTTTGAGTTTGAGTTTGAGTTTGAGTTTGAAATTAGTTTGACTTTGAAATTGAATCAATATAAAGCAAATCACTTTAAAGGCATCATTTAACAATGTTAAATCTGAGATACTTGGCCCTACGTTTTATCAGTGTCGGTGATATGGTGTAATATAGAAGCCCTAAAAATATTGCGCTTCAAAATGATCATGAGGTGCCTCAAAAGAGTAAAAATCTTTGAGTGACCGGTTTTACCATACCGGTACTCATTTTTCCCAATAGAGTGGTGTTATAAAAACCATGAGGAAAACAAATTTTTAAATTTTGATTTCCAATCTGCTTGTAAAAGTCATGGGGTTCCTGACTGACCTAAAGGTTTATGATTGCCTGCATGAGCTAAATCCAAGATTTTGTTTCAGAATCTGAGACAAAGATACCCAGTCCCTTTAATGAAATAATCTCTATTTTTAAAAATTATTTTCAGATATATATGGCAATAGATTAAAAAAATATTTAAAAGAGTAAATGCACCGTCGGTATGAAATAAGAAATGAATTGTTTTAAAGGATTATTAATGTGATACTTACTCTGTTAGCATGTCCTTTGGCAGCTTCACATCTGCAGGAGCCTCTTCTGCATTGGGCTGTTGATTGTTTGATGCACCCTCCCCTCCCTGAGGGTTGTTGTCTTGTAGTGATAATGCTAATAGTAGACTGTAAGGAAAAATAGGAAGGGAGGGAAAATTATAAATTAAATCTCTACTGAGCTTTTAATATTTTATTTACCCTCCCCCTGAGAATTTGTGTCTTGTAGTAATATAATGCTAAAAGTAGTAGGCTGCAAGAAATAGAGGGGGGGGGGGGGGAATGATCGCTTAACCAGCACTGGGCTGTTGATTGCTTGATGCAGCCTCCGCCTGAAAGTTGTATCTTGTTGCTATAAATTAAATGCTAATACATGTACATATTAAAAGTAGTTGTATGTCATACAGGGAGGATATATTTCGCTCACGAATAAAATAATTTGCAATGAGGCACTTGACAAAAAATTATGCATTTAATTTGGTCACATAATGAAAATGGTCTATTGCACAATACTTGCCAAAACAAAAATACAACAACCAAACTCACTCTGTATCTATTTGTTGAGATGTGCTCATAGGAGGGGGAGGATTGAGTGGACCCGAGGAGACTGCTCTGCGCTGGAAGTTACCATCAACAAAGTAACTATCGCCCTCTATGTTGGACAGGGTCTCCCAGACAACGTTGCTCTCCGTCAAAAAACCCTGGTCTGTGACTAGCACGTACAGCTCGTTCTATTTAATAACGAGAGAAAAAACACAAACAAAAGGTGTCAATGTGTTGTGTGTTGTGTGCCTAATACAAGAGTGCTGGAAGGGAGATTTTGAACAAGCATTCCCTTATATTCATAATTTTTCGGTTCCTAATGCAGGTCATCTACATGGAAAGAAGAAGAGGGAAGACCTCGTAAAGGCTTTCTAAATGATTTAATCACAGCATGTGGATCAACAGGATATAAAATGCTGAAACGGATGGCTAAAGACAGAAGTACTTGGAGAGACACTTGATGTAGAATTCTGTTTGGGTCACTTAACCTGTCATACTGACAGATCACTATTGATGATGAATGCAGGTAGTCCTGAAAAGGACTGTTGGTTCGAAGGGGAAAGCAAAGAAAAGAGAGAGTGAGAGAGAGATATCTTTCTAGTTTCAACCTATATAAGACTACTAGGTAATGTATGGATAGAAAAAAGGGTAATTAAAAGAGGTATATTTTTTAAATGGGTACCTGGCAGGAATTAATTCCTTTAAATGCAAGAGCGTCGAAATGGCAGCCATGCTAAAGCCAGGGTAATAATCGGGAGCGCCACGAGTGTCAAGTCTGACAGATACGAGTGCTATGCAAGAACCCAATATTATCCTATTTATTATTATTATTATCATGGTGTCATTCTTACCTTGTGTTTGTAGAGTGTGCTGAAATGATTATTCCTGAAGAACACACACAGCTCTTCTTCTTTGATAGTTGAGTTGAGTTCACATAGACCATGATATGTGAGCTGGGATGCATTACTGGCAAGAAACTGCTCTGCTAACAGACCTGTTTGTACATGAATAATACAGAAATGAACAAGAAATGAACAAGTTCAATATCCTGAAAATTGTTTACTAATAGCTCTCGAGGGTGAAACGTTACACATGGTTGCGGTAGTATAGGTTTCGATGAGAGATACTATTCAAAGAAAACATTACCTGTGGTCTTTGTAGACAGGTGGTTTGCTAAAACAGGTTTATAGGCACATTTCCAAGATATACATATCAATATATACATGTACATATCATATAAAACAATATTAGTGAGCTGAGATGCGTTATTGGCAAGAAACATCACGGAGCTCCATTTATCTCAAATACAAGTACCACCTCTGATTCCATTATGATTTTAGGACTCTAAAGCCAATTTCTACACATCACATTACCATTCCTGAATATAGGTCATGTTGATTTAATTACTTCTTTATTTTGTTAAATTTCCTGAAAAATCAACCTGATTATTATTTTATTATGTAACTAATTTGAAAATGTATGTATTTGTATTGTTTATGTTATGCAGGCCCTCCAAGTATAACTTGGTTTTAACTACCGACAGAGCTACTATGTTGAGATAATACCAAATAAATTAAATAAATAATTAAATCCTCACTGTCCTTTCTTTGTAGATGTCCCTACGCTTTCTAAGTTCTTCATCCTTTGCTGATGATTTGGTGCCAATGATGCATTCAACTACAAAGATTTTAGCTGCAGGTTCCAACTGCTAGAGACTATCACCTACATTTCCACTGGCCAATGAATATCATTCTTCTTATTTGTACATGAATTGAATTCATTGATTCATCTCTCATACAAAATTTCATCTTGCCAATGAATATCATTCTGTTGTACATGAATTGAATTGAATTCAATTCAATAATAATACTAATAATTATCCGTTTTTTTATATAGCGCTCAATACACCGATCCAACGATGTGCCTAAGCGCTTTACAGATATATTATTGCCCCGGTCATCGGATTCAGGCTTACTCGCAACACAATGCAGACCTGCCAACCTCTGGAGTTCAAAAACTGTATGAACCCTCGACCTTCGCATCTACAGTCCAGCGCCTTAAACCAGTCGACTACGACACTCCCAAAATGCATTGATTCACCCCTTTATACAAAATTTCAACTTGCCAATGAATATCATTCTGTTGTAATTGAATTGAATTGAATTTACTGATTCATCTCTCATACAACCAAATTATTTTTGCACAATAACAAAGATCATGTCATGCCTACCTTTTCTAACTTCTTCATCATCTGCTGATGACTTGGTAGAAATGATACGCTCCACCAGCTGATTGTAGCTGCACGTCCCCACTGCTGAGACGACCTCTAGGTTCTGAGGGTCGTACAGCCAGCCATGATAGAGGGCGATGTTTAACAGGTCAAAGACCACGCATTCCTGGGTGTACTCGAAATCTTTCACTCTAGAAGGTAGGAGATATTCAAACACATGTGTATGATTATACATTTTAATTATTTTTGATTTAACTACATGTATTGCATGGTTATGCTCCCTCTCCTCTTCCTTCTCCAGAGATGCCAACCTTCATCAACAAAAACGAGTATTTTTAAGAGCAAAAAACAGTATTTTGGAAAAAATCTCTCACCTTAACATATCGCCCAATTGAGCAGCTTAAAACAAATGTATACGTACCGGGATCGGAGCATGACGTGCATACAGTACATGTGGGTTGTTTGCAATGTGTGCAGTTTGGGGCCCGTATCGATGGTCTGCGTGCATCGATTGAAGACATAGGTGCATAATACACTTACGACACAAAGCCCATGATCGGAAATTAATAAAAACGTCAATCAAAAAAAAACATACTGCCATATTCATACAAAAAAAAAACAGAACAAATATGGCAAAAACGGAACAGTTGGCATCTTTGCTCCTCCTCCCCCTCCTCCTCCTTCTTCTTCGCGAATCAAAATGGGACTTACCCTGTGAATTTGACATTGACATCTAGGCCTGTCTGTAGGCGTGACATGATTTCCATAGCATCATGCATGTTCTGCTCATAGTTCTTCTGAATATCATCTGCTGCATTCTGAAAAAGAAGATAATATGGGAGAAAAAAAAACAAGCTCGAGTACACTGATTGCAGAAATATCTACCCTTTTTCGTGTTTACAACACGGCGTATATAAAACAACAAGAAGATAACGCACTATGTTTTTTTTTTCTTTAAAAAAAAAAAATTATTTCCACATACAGGCGGAACACCCTAGTCAGCACAGCTGTTTTTCATGCCTGCCAGAGTAAAAGCTAGGGTAATAATATTCAAACTTATTTGGAAGCACATACATGTACAGGTAGGGACATTATATTATTATGTGATATGTGTATTCAAGAACGGTTGATGATGAGGATGATGATAATGGTGATTATGAGTAATATCATTATTATTGTTATAATCATAACTATTATTATTATTATTATCATTATTATCTGTTGTGACAGTTGCACTTAAATTCTTTATCACCCAAGTCATTTGTTTCTTGTATTATTGATGCATGACATGAACACACATATATTTGTAATAGCACTTCCTCAGGCAAGGTGCCTAATATAGCGCCACCTATTGATAGCCACTTGATATCAAACTCTCAGAAGGCTACATTAACATGGTTGTGCTGAGGTCCAAGAATCCCCTTTTTGACAGAGCATCAAGGAGATTTCAGTTCTAAGTTTGTCATTATGTCAGGCAAAGAGGTTAGTTTTGTTATATATTGAATGTATTTCTATGAATTGTTGAAACATAAAGTGTAAATTAGTGTGTGTATTTTGTACTGAGAGATGTTGATGTTAGTATGTAGTGTAAGACATGCAAGCCCATGCTGGTTTAATATGTGCATTTGATATGATTTGAAGAACAATGATGATAGTGAAGATATTGTTAAATACTTTGATGATATATAATGAGAGTGCTGAAGCACTAAGTAGAGATTCAGAATTTATAATTGTTTAGATAATCGTTTATTCAAGATATAGTGAAGTCTAGTTGAGACAATTGTAGTGTGATTTGTATTTATGTAAAGCCATTTAATACATATGGACTAGAATAGTGACTGGGGTTATTTTAATAAGTTGTAAAGATCATGACACAATGTACATTATTTAATGAGTTTCTAAAAGAAAATGTGTTTATTGCTATATTGATGATGCTGTGATGTACTTATATTCATTATTCTTTATCTGTGATTTATCCACAGTTTTCACGGAATTTACTGGAACGAAAATGAAACTCCAATTAAAGATACAATTCCCGTAGAAGCCTTTGTTTAGACTATTTATTTGAGATCGACCTCGCTGCAGCCACATTATCATTATCATAATATTCATTATTATTATTATCATTATCATTACCACTGTCTGTCTGTCTGTCTCTCTCTCTCTTTCTCTCTATCTGTCTTCCTCTCTCCCTTTTCCCATATATACATGTAACTCTGATTACTTTCATTATTGTTTACAAATTTTGTCCTAATGTCTTTAATACAGGCATAATTGTTCTTCTACAATATTTTGAAACAAAAAGAGTTCGACTTAAAGAATTTCCATTTTCAGTTTAATAAAATTTGGAGTGGACTTTTAACAGATTATTATTATTAATATCATTATTATTATTATTAACTTATCACATCATTCCTCCTACCTCAGGCATCCTGGACAGCAGATGATCTCCAAGATACTCAAAGAGCTGACTGGCCGAAACCATCTCCACCATCTGTGGAATCTGAATGGTCTCCCGAAGCAGCATGACGTTGACGATCGCGATGAGAGGACACGGTCCGTTCTCGTTCTGGGTAATGATGGGCGTGTTCTGGTTACGCCATGTGACCCACTTCACATGGTAGGCTTGGACCGGCTGGGCCGCAGAGCGAGGGCTGGCAGACGCCGACCCCGTCGCAACCGCATCAGCTGTAAGAGTAAGAGTATAGTGAAAAATGTCATAGAAAAAACATATAGTATACATGAAAAGAGCCCAAATGAATACAGATTCATGGTGGAGGTGTTGTGGTCTTGTGGATAAACTACCGGTCTGATAACCACAGGAAACACGCTTCAAATCTCTGCCAAAGCACTAATGTCCATTGGCAAGACATAAATCTAAATTGCCACACTCCACCCAGGTGAGGTTATTATTATTATACTTTTGGCATCACCTGTGCCTGGAAGGTGAACAGAAGTCTGAATCACTGTAACCCTTGGGTCTCTGATCCCGGTATAACTGATAAGGGGTATGCAGGTGGACCACTACACCAGGGTGTTTCCCCCTCATCTTATTCAAATAGTGCGGTGGGTTCTTAACATGAAAAGGTGGTGACTCTCCTCTACGTGAAGCGTCCATTAAACAGGGGTGATAGTGAGCACTAAAAAAAAAAAATAGGTTGTTTGTTTTCCACTCAACCACGCCCCCCTTGTATTGTAAAAAAAAAAGAACAGGATTCGCTGGAAAAAATGGCATCTAACAACATTCCCCCCTTTCGTGTAAGAATATTGGGAAAAAAATAGGGCAAAATAGGAAAGAATATAGAAGATAAGGGGGAAATCAAGAAAATCAGGATAAAATAGGGAAGAAAAAATATGTGGTTAAAAAAAAAAAAAAATATGGATTTTTTTTTTTTTTTTTTTTTTTTTAAATCGGGAAGAAGAAAAAAAAAATCGGGAAAAATAAAGAAATCTGGAAACCGATTTAAATCGGGTTTTTATCAGGCCTGATTAAACCTCCATCCGAGAGACAGTGTTTTCACAAAACGCAGACTTCAGTCATCCACCTGGGTTGGATTCAAACCCAACATGCATACAGGCATATTTTATGTCTGCATACTGCAATATTTCTCCTATAACATGAAATGACTCTCAGGTTAGGGTCTTTTAAAATGTGTGTCATCCAAACTCAAACATTCCCCCCCCCCCCCCCCCCCCCAGAAAAAAAAAAGAGAACAATGTCAATAATTTAACATTCATTTGAAAACAGTCCACTTCCTTCCTCATTTATCTTTCCATTTTTCAGTCTAAGACAAATATATCAAAGAGAGACACAGAGACAGACAGGCAGATGGACAAAGTACTTCATTAAAAAGAAGAAAAAACAGAGAGAAATCTTAAAAGCAATAGTCAGGATATGGTCCTGGTAATAGACACTTTCTTACAAATTGCAGCTGCAGTAGCACCTTTGCTTTCTTCTGGAATGCCTCCCTCTGCGCCTCTCACTTCTCCCGTTTCAGTGTCCATTGCACTACAGGCCCCACCACCTTCTGCACCCTCTTTCTCACTCTTGTCCATTGCTGGCTGTTCCATTAATTTCCCACCCTCCCCCTGCTCAGGCACTGTCTCCGGTACCTGCTGTTCCACTGGCTGGACTTCCTCCATCTTTTCAACGAGCGAAGAGTCAGCCATGACTGTGATATCGTTTCCTATAGAGTTGTCTGTGCTGGGCGTTTCATCAGAGCTAGGCGTGGCATCTTTAGGAGATTCGGCCACTACGCCATGCTCAATCCCTGCGTCTGCTATAGAAGAGGGTTCCTCCATTGCTTGCAGAGATCAACCAAACAAAAATGATTTGAGGGAGGCTCAGCTGAAAGAAAAATAACATGTCGAGGGGTCAGTGACACAAAGACGTAACTTTATTTGGAGAAAAAGTGGTTTACAGTATGTGTCACTGAGCACGTGGGCCTTAAGGAGTTAAAGAGAAGGTTGAGTTCTGGGAAGAAGTGAAAAAGAATTTGTGAGCGTTATCGTTGTTATCATGCAAATGTGGAAGAACATCAGATGGCTCTTGAAATGCCTTCATATTCTAAATATGGCATGTAACATTGTAAAAATCAGGACGAATTTTTTACACTACGTGTTTGTGTAGTCCCATATACATCTTTCTGTGTACAGTGCTTGTAACTTTATCAAGACTGGGCCAAATTTCTTATCATTTTGATGATTCCAGAACCTTACAATACACACAAATACTTATACATGTATGCTAGATGATCAACCTTTTTTGATAAATTTCACTTCGTTTCTTTCACAATTCAATCCCATGACCAGAACTCAACTTTATCTTTAGTCTAAGTTTCACTAGCCATTGACTTCAATGGGGTGTTGGGTGGAGTTAAGTCTTTGTGTTTCCTGGAAAGTCCATATTTTTCTTAACATTTTGATAACAAATTCTCATTTTGGCAAAATATGGAGTTACGCCTTTGTGTCACTGAACCCTTGATGTGATGCAAAATATTATTGATGTAATTGGCAGAATACCGGCAAAGCAGAAACATTTGCATGCTTGAAGTATCTGTGAATTTCACAAGTGTTTCAGATTTGCAAAAATTTCATGCAGCAAAATGATTCTTTCACAACTAACAAGACACTCAAGTTTTGACATTTCCATAAGATTCTTTCCAATCGAGATGTGGTATAAATAGTAGGGTGTCTGAACGATTTTTCAATTTTCAATTTGGGATCGTTTTTCACCATTTTTGTTTGATATTTGAATTAAAAATGTAGTCGGAACAATACATTTCAAATTTCAAATCTCACCGATGGTTCTATCAAAAGATACAGCCCCTCCGAAATGCTGGAATATTCATAGCATTTTGATCAGAATCGACGAAAACGTACACGCAGAGTTGTGATGTTTTGCTAAATTTAGCCAAACAGCTGTATAGCACGATATGCAAGCGTATGCATAGCGTACGCATGTCATGCGCAACTTGCAGCTTGAGCCACACTGTCTCTGCGACATGTGCCATTGACTAGTATGGCTAGCCGTTCGTCGCACAATAAACCCGGAAGTGAATACACGTTATAGTCAATGGCAATATCGAGGAGACAACGTGCACGTTGTCTCCTCGATATTGCCATTGACTATAACGTGTATTCATTTCCGGATTTATTGTGCGAACGGCTATCCATACTTTCATTCACTATACGCGCAGATGTTACGCGATGTAACCATGGTTTGGACTGAGCGGAGCTCACGCCTCCCTAATTAGCTGATCCGAAAAATGTGGAGAAGGGCATTTTCAAACTGTAATCAGCTGTGATCCCTGGGGGCTAGCGAAAAAATAAGCACATAGATATATTCCTTCGGACTGGGACTACTTATCGATCAGGGCGTCATATCTCAAAAGTGACAAACCTCAGAGTTAGCCAGGACACAATGTTTAAATTGCTGTTTTTACCAAGATATCTTTAGAATTTCGGGGGTGACCCTCCCTTTGGAAATATTGGAATTCACCTGCTCTTTCATATGACACCTCATTTATTGAGTATCACCTTCAGGTTCACAACAGATAAAGGTTTGAATCTTGAATTGAAAAAAAAAACTTGACTTTTTTTGCATGGTCACGCGCAATGCACGTAGACTGCATAGGGATGCGTGTAATCTCTATGGGAAGAATTTTAGCACACAACATCGGGTGCGCGATCAGACACCCTATAAATAGCAACATATGACATCAGTATATTTTAGTTTCAACGTTACAAAATATTAGTCCCTGAATTTCTACTCTAAATAAATGTCATCTTTTCCAAGAAATTTTATATTTTCAGAATCAAGTTTGTAATGCACTAGATGAGTAGATCTATGTAGGCCCCTAAGGAGAACAGTTTCACTGTGACACTGGATAACCTATAAAAGTGTTAAAGTGTTGAAATCAGTATATGATATACACCAAGAACATTCACACAACATTCACAATTGCAAGAGATAGCTAACCAATTCTGACAAGATCTTTCATACAAAACAAGACATGTAAATCAGTACGTGGGACTGGTATGAAAAATACAAAACAACTCGTCACCACAATAAGCTCAATTCAGACCATAGTCGACCATACCGGAGGCAACATATATTCTATAAAGTTATGAAGCATATTATAATTACCAAATACTCGATTCAATATGATAATTTCGAGCTTCGTCGAAGAAATACGGTAACGGAGAATTCTGTATTGGAGACAGCGTACGGTAGCGTCAGAGTTGGAAAGGTCAATGCACTTTTCCGCTCTCTGCATGTCTATAGATGCAAGATGAGAGTTCTAAATACAGTTTTTGACGGCACGGTATTAGATAAACAAGTATAATCTAAATATCTACAACTTACAAGACTTATCCGACTTGATCAGGCGGAATTTCTTAATAGACTACCGGTATACATGTATTTAAAAACTGTTCCAGAATATATATCCCCCATAAATTTACGGCTGCACCCGGGCTGCACCCCAACCTAACTTATAATTTTTGATGGTACTGTCATTCAAAGGGCCCGAACAACTAAATTTTTGGGGCTAGTTATTGATGAAAAACTATCTTGGAAAGCGCACACTGACAATATCTGCAAAATCATTGCTCGCAACACTGGTATCCTTAGTAAATTAAGACACTTCCTACCCCATTATATTATGTTATCCTTGTATTCTACGCTTATTCTTCCTTACTTGAATTACGGACTTATTGCCTGGGGCAGTGCAGCAACTTCCCAAATTAATAGACTCTTTATATTACAAAAAAGAGCGATTCGTATTATTAATAATGCAGATTTCCGGGCACACACGAATAATCTTTTTCTGAATAATAACATTTTGAAAACTAGAAATTTAATTCGTCATGGGGACGAATTAGGTGGTCTGTCTTCAAGTCTTATGAGAGATTATAATATTTACTATATTGAGAAAGGGAGAAGTTATATAGACATGTAAACAATGATGATCATCATGATGATCATGATGATGATGATCTTGATAGTAATGGGGATGACGATGATGATGATCATGATGATCATGATGATGTTGATGATTATCATCAACAGACCACGATGACATCAGACTGAACAAAATTAGAGAACATTTAGATAGCGTATAGTCTCAGCTACAACATACTCAAAAATCAACAAAAACCAAGCAGAAATAACAGCGATATTGCTCGCAAAAGACAAGAATGTAGAATCCAGATTTGAGAAAAAGTCATCTCCCATAAGGATTACACGCCAAAAGTAATGGATCTAGTGATAATAGGGTAATAATAAAGTAAATATGGTTGTTTATTACATTATTTGCAATTGTACGTGTTTTAATATTCAAAGGAGATGGTAGAGTGAAAGGTCAAAAAGAAAAAAAAGTGAAGAAAAAAAATTGTTGGAGACGCCCGGACTCGAACCAGGGACCTCGAGGTCGGAAGTCAAGTGCGTTACCGATATACCAAAACATTTCCCATAGAGATTACACGTAAACGGAAAATGGAATTATCAAATCCCACTTTGTATGTGAGATATGAGCATGATCCCGGCATCTGATCGAGAAATAAAGGGCACACTTGTGATAGCTTATTGTCTCAGCTACAACACACTCAAAGCTCAGCGTAAACAAAGATAAAACGACGGAGATATGGCTCGCGAAAGACGAGAATGTAGAATCCAGTTTTGAGAAAAAGTCATGTCCCATAGAGAATACACGCAAAATGTGAAAAATTGACATGCCTCCTTTAATCGCAAAAATACGCCATGATACCATTGTCAAAATGAAATATCGTGAAAAATGCATTTGTAGAGAATATTCTCAGGTAGAACATATCAAAATTTGAAAGAAAATTAATCAATATTTACAGAGATACAATCAATTTTACAAAAATATGCTGACGTCATAATATGCAAATTGAAATTTTGAGTTCGGAGGCCATTATGATGACGTCATGAGTTAAATGAGGGTCAAATGACACATGAAATCATATCTCCAACTCATACTTATTCCAACCATGATATAAAAGTTGGGGTCAATTGACTATCTCAAGAGCTATTTTGATTTTTAAAATGGGATGTTTTTGATCAAATTTGCATTATATTGCCCATAGCAGTACGCGCGGATTTTGAACTTTGACGCGCGCTCACGGCCTTATAAAAGGTCAAGAGTGACTGAAATTAATGTAAATTGTCATTTACGGTAAGAGAAATCTAAATCATGTAAAAAAAAATGAATTTGACCTTTTCCGCGCGTTGTGAGCGCGCGCAACGCGCGCGTTGACACTTACGGACGGAAAATTTTGAAATGCTTAAAATGACCTGATTCGTACTCTCCTTCAATAGTTAAGTAATTTTGAGCATTTTTAAATTTTGACGCGCACGTACGCGCGCGTCGTGACCTTTATGTGACCTTTGATGACATGATCTGTTGACCCTTGACCTGAAATATATGTGATATGAATATGAATGATCTTTGCTGATCCATCATGAAGATATGATGGATAACGTGATTTCACAAAATGGCGCCTGGATGACGTCACGATAAATTGATGACCTTGAAAATGTTCCTGTCACGTCTCATGACAATGACTTATGACTGTGTAAAAATTAAAAGAAATTAACACAACCGATCTTGAGTTAACCGATAAACAAAAAACGGGAAGAAATAAAAATAAATAATAATAATAATAAATAAATAAATAAAGAAAGAAAATTCTGACGAAAACAATAGGTGATCTGTCGAAAACGACAGACCACCTAAAAAGAAAAGAAAAAAATTGTTGGAGACTCCCGGACTCGAACCAGGGACCTCGAGGTCGGAAGTCAAGTGCGTTACCGATATGCCAAAACATTTCCCATAGAGATTACACGTAAACGGAAAATAGAATTCACAAATCCCACTTTATAAGTGAAATATGAGCATGATCCCGGCATCTGATCGAAAAATAAAGGGCACACTCGTGATAGCTCATTCTCTCAGCTACATCATACTCAAAGCTCAGCATAAACAAAGATAAAACGATGGAGATATTGCTCGCGAAAGACGAGAATGTAGAATCCAGTTTTGGGAAAAAGTCATGTCTCATAGAGAATACACGCAAAATGTGAAAAATTGACATGCCTGCTTTAATCGCAAAAAATACGCCATGATGCCCTTGTCAAAATGAAATATCGTGGAGACTGCATTTGTAGACAATATTCTCAGGTAGAACATATCAAAATTTGAAAGAAAATGAATTAATATTTACAGAGATACAATCAATTTTATAAAAATATGTTGACGTCATAATATGCAAATTGAAATTTTGAGTTCGGAGGCCATTATGATGGCGTCATGAGTTAATTGAGGGTCAAATGACACATGAAATCATATCTCCAACTCATGTTTTTTCCAACCATGATATAAAAGTTGGGGTCAATTGACTATCTGAAGAGCTATTTTGATTTTTAAAATGGGATGTTTTTGATCAAATTTGCATTATAGTGCCCATAGCAGCACGCGCGGATTTTGAACTTTGACGCGCGCTCACGGCCTTATGAAAGGTCAAGAGTGACTGAAATTAATGTAAATTGTCATTTACGGTAAGAGGAATATAAATCATGTAAAACAAATGAATTTGACCTTTTCCGCGCGTTGTGAGCGCGCGCAACGCGCGCGGGGACACTTACGGACGGAAAATGTTGAAATGCTTAAAATGACCTGATTCGTACTCTCCTTTGATAGTTAAGTGATTTTGAGCATTTTAATATTTTGACGCACGCGTACGCGCGCGTCGTGACCTTTATGTGACCTTTGATGACATGACCTGTTGACCCTTGACCTGAAGTATATGTGATATGAATATGAATGACCTTTGCTTATGCATCACGAAGATATGATGGATAACGTGATTTCACAAAATGGCGCCTGGATGACGTCACGATAACCTGATGACCTTGAAAATGTTCCTGTCACGTCTCATGACAATGACCTATGACTGTGTCAAAATTGAAAGAAATTAAAACAACCGATCTTGAGTTAACCGATAAACAAAAAACGGGAAGAAATAAAAATAAATAATAATAATAATAAATAAATAAATAAAGAAAGAAAATTCTGACGAAAACAATAGGTGATCTGTCGAAAACGACAGACCACCTAATTAAAGACTTGTATATTTTTCAGCTTGGACAGTTAATGTACAAGCTCAACACTAAACAATTACCTTTGCCTTTTAATGATATGTTCGTAAGAAATGATTCGATTCATAGTTACCTCACTCGCCAGGCGAGCTCTTTTCATTTACCATTAAATAGAACATCTTTTGCACAAAAGACATTTGTTTTTACAGGTCCAAAACTGTGGAATTCTCTTTCAAATGATATTATACAGTGTAATTCGATACAAATTTTCAAAAGGAGACTTAAAAGCTTTCAAGTTCTGAATAGTTACTAGGCTATTGCATTCCCCAATCAAATATAATTTGTAGTGTGACTTTATGCAACTTTGATTATTTCTCTTTATAAACATGTATGTATTTATCAATGTTTTGCGTTTAAATTTTTTTTTTGTTTTTTGTATTACTGAATCAGTTACTGTTATTATTGTTGTTTTTGTTTTGTTTTCTCATAAAATGATAATTCATGATGATAATTCATGATAATTACTTTTACAGGGGGGCTTACACCCTACAAGCTCTGCTTTTTAGTCGGCCCTCCTTCCCTTTCAATTTCATGTTTATTTTTTAATGTATTGTATTGTGCAAATTGATCTATATGTATATAAATATGTGAATATGTTAAAATATACCATCATTGTAAATATGAACGATTGAAAGAGGAAAAAATAAATGAATTGAATTGAATTGAAATTGAACCAAAGGCAAAGTGCAACCCCCCGCCCCCAGCCGATCTTTTCTTTCACCACCAATGGTGGGTGGGGTATACTATGGTATGGTAATGAACCATATTTTGTGTATTCTTTTTGTCTTTATTTTTATCTATATCAATCTTTCTTTCAATCAGTATTTCTTTCTCTAACGTATATCAGCCTCCTATTTTATATCTTTTTTTTGGGGGGGGGGGGGGGGGTAAACTGCAGCTCCAAAGTACCCCATGCTAGTGTATATCATAATTCACCTATAAATGCTAAAGAAAAATATCAAGATAATTGTACAGCCTGTGCATGATTTTCTGTCACCCACCCCCCCCCCCCCCCATGTCTGCCCTTCCCTTCTCTAGCTCCGTTATTTTATCTCCCCCTCTCTCCATCTGTCATTTAATCTCTCTTTTCATTCCATCTCTTATATCCAATCTCCCTCGATCTCCCCTCTTGCCTTTTCCTTTTCTATCTCCTCTCTTTTTTCTCGAATTTGTTTCTCTCACCAGTGTTCTGAATGTCACTATTCTATGTCCCGCTGATTATGTTTTGTCAGTTGTGAATATAAGATCTCTCCGCAAAAACTAGGGCCCGGTTTCATTATTTTTGTATTTATAACAAGTTACAATAACTGTTACAAGCTCCTGCGATTATGGCATCTGACTGGCTGAGAGCAAATTCGTTAATAAGTTAGCATTTGTTATTATTAGCAAGTTTCATGAAACGGGTCCCAGTTTTGAGTACCTACAACAATTAAGTACAGCATTGAGGGAAAATACAAACATCACCACATAAAATCAACATATCACAAATGGGTCATTAAATTCATATAATTTATTCACTTCTACTTGAAAATGTACATGTTTGTCTTTCCACAGAGAAAGTCCACTTCTTTTCTCCGATACAAGAAAGAGTCATATTTTCAAAATCTTCATGGTAATATAAGTATGAACGATGCAACAAAAATATAAATGGCAGTTTTCATACTAAGACCACTGTACGTCCATCTCTATAATGTTGAGATATAATGATGTCATAATTTCTGTACAAATTTTAAAACTTCAAAATATTCATTTACATACCAATATAAAAGTTCTGTACAAATCCTGCCCCCTGTACAAATGGTGCTCTCATCACATATTATACAAAGTGACTTTATCTTGAAGGTACTATGTCCCATTTGCAGGCCAAAAAAATGAAAAGGTTAAATTCCAACGGCATTTGAAAGATAATGCTACTTTATAACTTCCCTAAAAAAGGTGGGGCTTGAAAATGTCTTCGAGTGGGAAATTGACTAAAAAATTTGAGGTTGGCTGCAAAAGGGACATAGTACCTTTAATAGTTTGTGACCCTAAACAAGTAATTCTTCATTGACAAAACATATATATATATACTCTGAAATAGACACTCAAGCAATGCTTGGTAAGGGGAATTTGGTGGTTGTCGTCAAAAAATAGAGGGCAAGGGTTATACATTTGTGATTCATTTTGTAACCCCCCCCCCCCCCCCCCCCACATGATAATACATGTATGTCAGAGTAATTAACAAATGGAATGCAAGGTATTATTTTCTGTTTTGCTTTCCCCATTTCATTGTCGACCTGAGCCTGAAATAGCTTCTGGCCCTCAGAAAACTTTAGATTCTATATAATAATAATAATAATGATAATAATATGTCTTGTTTACCCAGGGTAGCCTCATCAGTATTCGTACTGTTCTCCCCGAGGGCCCTGCAATCATATCATTACCCGGCTATATATCTGCTTGTCCAAACTTTTGGGCACAATTTGAAAATCACAGCACAGACAGATTTGGAAAGATACCAAAGGAAAGAATATTAACAATAGCCACGTTTCTATGCACAAATTTCATTATATGGAGTCAAAAACGTTTCATCTATGCAAAAACAAAAGATAGAGATCAAAAGAAACGTTGAGCAAATAAGATGATCGTAATGAAACTTTTTAGAAGACTGAGAATGGTATTTTTTTGTCTGTGAATTAGTTTTTTTAACCTCATGTCACACATATGATGTAACTTTTGTAAGTAAAAGGTGAAAGTCCTGTTTTCATACATGTATTGTTCAGTCAAATATATTATTCAGTTTCAGTTTACACAGTATGCATATATAACATCTAATACAGCAGCAAAGATGGGCAAAACCAGATACTGCGCTCTATAACCATTGGGTCTGTTCAACGATATTGATATCAAGTTACATATGTTCCAGGACTCCAAGACAAAGTTGAGTTCTGGTCATATGCTTGCATTGTGAAAGAACTGTGTGGAAGCGATTGGGAAAGGTTGATCATATAGCAGATACATGTGAGTATGGGTGTAATGCAGTAAGGTTTTGGAATCATCAAAATGATTGGGAATTGCCCAAGTCTTGCTAATGGGTCACATGCGCTGTACACAGAAATGTGTACATGGGACTACACAGACATGGGCATGAGGTTGTGGTCCACAAACTTTAGCCGTTGCTTGTCATGTTTCAAATAGGAGAGCATCTCAAGAGCCACTCTTTTCAGTGGATATATTTTCCATAATACTCTTCCGCACTGACATAAAAAGAACGGAAAACCTCACAAATATTATTGTTCACCTTACCCAGAACTCAACCTTCTCTATTTCAAGTAGTCCGGAATGTGGCCGATTAATTCCAATAATATCTCTCCAAAGTGATCTCCTTCTCCCCCTACATGTGGAACGGGGGGAAAATACACGGGGGCTAGGGGCGAGTTAGCCCTTGAAGTGCCAAAAAGAGCCACCCAAAAAAAATTTAATATTTTTCCCCTGATGTACAGTGTATACGTATGTGCTTGCTGCAAACCGAAGCTGACAGGATCCCCACATTTGTATGCCGAGATTTTGCGATGGGCAAACAAATTTGTGAATCGGCCAGCTTGTTAAAATAAAACGGGCAAAATTGTTGAGTAGAATTACCGCAGCTCAGGTGAACATATACATGTATAAAGCATTACAATAAGCATATCACATTGCCTTAGCATGGTGGTATGTTTAACAACGTTGTTCTTTAAATTGCTGTAAAATTTGGCTAAATTAGTCTGATTTCATCATTGGAAGACGTTTTCTAGATCTATATACATTTCTACGTCGGTTACATACTGAGAGAAAATTAAGAGATCAGGAGGATTTTAAAGCAAAACAGAAAAATTAGAAAAGAAAATAATTAACTAAATAAATAAATACCGGTACATAAATAAATAAAAAGTAACTACAGTAAAAAATTAAAATCAAAACAGATGAAAATGAAACAAATGGAAAATAGACAAACTGATCTAGTCAATGGATGAAAATGAAAGAAAGTTGAATTTCCTAAATTCCCTTACTGAAAAAAATATTCTACATGTGAATAATGGTTGTTCAAGAAATCTAGTTATCTTAAATATTTTCAGGTATTCACTTCGTTACGTCTCCCTCAAGGTGTGTGACTGCAAATATCATATTTATATGTACAGCATAAGGGTAATAAGTAACAAACGCAAATATGTTACGTTCAGAGAACTTCAGAAATGACGTGATGAATCGCAGCAAAAAAAAAAAAATACATGTCATTTTTTTTTAAGGTGTAAGGGAATGAACAACAGCGCGCAACATTCACTTAGCTCTGCGGTATAGGAAACAGAAACGTGAAGCGGATTACACTTCCATCCTTGTAAAAAAAAAGCTGTTTACTACATTATACATGAATGAGGCTTATTAATACTAATCAAAAGTCCATTGAAATGTACATTCCACTAATGTCACATGTCACAAAGTACATCTTTTTCCTGTGATGCAACATTTGCTTCAGTGATGTGTGCTCCAGGAATTAATGTGTTGAAGATATGGGCTTACCGGTAGATGAGGTGAAGGGGTTGTGATAGAATTTAAGATAATATTTGTTTGTTTGTTTTTACCAGACAGCTAAGAAAGCATGTGTATGCCTGCACATGTAAGTAAACAACCAAGATATCAATGGCCTAAAGTCCTCCCCAAAGGGACTTGGTAATGAAGATTCATGCCTTACCAAAGGAAACTATGGCAACGACTTGGTTTGGAACCCGGGACCTCCCTGTTACGAGACCACTGCTCTACCACTGAGCCAATGATATAGTTGGGGAATGGAATAGATGGTTGTAGAGGTGCTGTGGTCTACTTGATAAGTCACCCAACTATGGATCTCAAGGTATGGGGTTCAACTCCCAGCCAGGTGATGTACATGTAAATATGTACCCGGTAGGAAGAAGTTTCTGAAATGCTGAGGTAATAATAGTACAGTGCTTGAGCTATATAAATGTACATGTTACTATTATTATTATTTATTATGTATGTATTGGTAGATAGACATTTCCATTTGTACAAAAGCAGCTGTATTTCACCTACATGTAGTTACATTCTCTTGTACAGTACATGTATGTCTTTGTTCAATATATTAAAAATGAGTGAAAGTTGCACAAAAAAGTATTTTGAGCATGATATAGAGCACCTTAGAAGCTTCCTGTTAAATGACAATGTGAAAAGAGGATACATTTTCAGTGATAATTTGCCTCCCTTAAAAATTAAAATGAAACAAGTTATGAAACAAAAAGATAAACTTGTCCTCCTTCCTCATAATGACACATATCTATCAGGTCCACAGCCGATAAAAGTAACACTGCTTACTGGCGTTTTGTTTGTGGTACCTGTTAAAAACAAATTCTCCCTGGATCAGGGCGTTGGACATTTCTTGCGTACACTCTTGATAATGAAGTGGTCATTCTGTATGGACTGAACACTTGTTATAATGGCGCAGTCATGACGTTGTTCTTCCAACCTCAAACAGCCTGTGATCTGCAAACTTTCCCTGGGACATGGCTTCGGACATTTCTTCCTAGACCCTTGATAATGTAGTGATCAATCTGCTAGCTGTGGCCCGTGTTCTGCAGAATGATTTTTCTTTTCAAACACCTTGGGTCACTTCTCCATCTCTTACGTTCTGAAAATAGTTCCTATAAAAGATAAAGATGGTGGAGATGTCCCTCTGCTAGCCTTCACCAGGACCACAAAGTTCTGGAAGTTGTTCTACAGAATGCGGTTTGTCCACAAACCTGGGGTCACCTGTCCACCTCTTAGCTGCACCGTCTCTGATGACAATGCCACAAGGTTCTCAAAATTGTTCCTTTACAAAAAAAAGTCTATGAAGCTATCCCCCTGCTAGCTTTCACCAGGCCCATAGAGTTCTGAGAACTGTTTCTTTGGCTCCCGTTGCCTGTTTGACTTGCGGATACTGCTTCGAGTGTCTCTACAGTGTGTACAGATGAAGATCTCTGGCACGTTGGTCTTGCGGATCTTGGCGCAGGAGAGGTGGACCCATGTCTCGCACTCATTGCATTCAATCATGGGACGCCCGGCAAACGGCTTGTTGCAGAAACACGTGATGAGGTTCCAGTCCTCGTCTTTTTCGCCTGGAGCAAAACAAAGCATCAACATTCATATTAGTGGGATCTCTTGGGGAATTTGACCCAGTTCAAGTGTTTACCCAATAACAGGTCCTTTCAATTGCATGTATAATGCAAAAAATATCGATAATAAAAGAAAATTTAAATGCTCATGCTCCATATGTACTTACGTTAAACTGAACATTTAGTTAAAACTTGTACCGGCATTAAAAATTCAAGGGAATTGTATTATCATACTGAAAGTGCAAAACAGGACCGTTTCATAAAATTTCTTATCAATAACAAATGCTGAATTTCTATGACAAATTTGCTCTCAGCCAATCACATACCACAATTTCAGTAACTTATAACAGTTATTGTAGCTTGACATTGATAACAAGTTTAATAAAAACGAGGTCACAGTCCCTTACATAAATCAAAAAGAAATGTTGTGCATGTATTTCTAATGGTAAAATACAGAAATTTAAACTTACGTGCACTGCTCATTCTGCCCTTCTTGGAGTACCTTTCCCTGGGGCTGAGGTCTGAATCGGCTCCGCTACCAACGCTGTTCCCCTCACTGTCGAGCGGACTGATGCTTCTCTTCTTCACTCGCTCCTAATAGAGAAAATAACAATTAAAGATAAGCTTGAGTTCTGGTAAATATTGAAAATAGATTCTCACAGAATCCAACTAGACTTGCACTGAATGTTCAAGATTACAAATAAATGACATGTGCCCAGTGATCTTGGTAGAAATGTATACCCGCTATACAGTGTCTTAATCTAGAGAAAATAGAGAAAAATAACGATTGATGATGGGAGAAAATAACAATTAATGATGGGGGAAATTGTTATTCTTCATTTTTGATCATTCTAATTACTGTTCTTCTCGCTGTCTAGGGGACAGCACAGATACTTCTCTTCTTCAAACTTCCTATTAATGGAGAAAATAACAATTAATGATGGAAACAAGATTGTTATTATTTGTTTTTCCCCTCTTAATTACTGTTCCCTTCGTAGTCAAGGGGACTGATGCTTATCCTAATAGAGAAAATAACAATTAATAATGGGAAAATTGTTATTATTCATTTTTCCCCTCTTAATTACTGTTTCCTTCATTGTCTAGGGGACAAGTACTTCTCTTTTTCAAACGCTCCTGAGAAAATAACAATTAATGGAGGGGGAAAAAGTGATTGTAGACTTGAATGATATCACAACTAGCAAAACGATTGTAGGCTACTACTAAATCAGCCTCACTGAGATTGATAATAATACTTTAAAAACTCCTTTAAATTACTTTTGTGTTGGCTTACTGAAATAAAACATGCAATATCCCCCCCCCCAAAAAAAAAAAAAAAAAAAAAAATTTAATTAACCAAAAGAAATAAAGAAAGAAAAAAAAACTTTAATTTTACAAACACTCCACATCTGTTACATTAAGTGACAAAGACTGTAAGAAAGGTCATTTATTCTGTGCTTAAGCCAGGTATATACATGTAGTTGAGCTGCCAAAGTAAAACATATCAGGTACCCATGTACACCTGGGTTGAGCATGGTAATGTAGATTAATAGACGTTAGTGCCAGGCTGGGATTTGAACCCCGTACTTTGTGATCTACAGTCAGGTGACTTATCCACGAAACCACAGCACCTTGAGTGTGTACATGTAGTGATGGCCACACAACACAGCCTGTATGGTTTTCAATTTCAATTTCAATTTTGACAAGTTTTTTGGCACATACATGTATGTAGGCTACAATGTACAATGTACATGTACATTAGCATAGAAAACTTAATTTAATACTATTTAAACCCGTAGGGTGTAGAGACAGATTTGTTGATCATTTTCATTTGAATTCATCAACAACATATCTATTCCTCATGATCAGAGAAAATAAACATGACAGACAGAAATCATCAATCTGGATGATTTCACCCTCAATAATTGTTTGAACTAAACACCCCTGATACAAAATGAACTAGTCCATCTCTGAAGTGATGTCATGCCCTGAAAACCCAAATATGGGAGCTGTGACCAAGTGTGTGAGAGAGCTCTTGGTAAACAGAGTGGTAAATAGACACTACTCTATTCTACTTAAACCAGTGATAGTGCACTGCAATATTGTGAGACTTGTCTACCAGTCTCCTTTGCTGTCTACCTCGAAACCCCAATATGATAATGAGGGAGCTCTGTGCACAGCTAGCATAGGCCGATCATATGTAAATAATGTCCTATTTACAATGAATATTCATGATTTCACAGGAAATGGCTTAGCTGTCAGGCCTTGCATTAGCTTAGTTAGTTCAAGGAATTAGTTGTATGCATTGAGAAAATTAAGCACTTTGAGTACTTCATGATTAAAAGAGTCTGCTGATATTAGCTAAGGAAATCATGCTACCATAATCAAACAATGAAATTTATATTAAATAAATTATTAAAGGGGAGGGGACCATCTTGATGTTGACAGAAAATAGTATTATGCTGAATAAGCTATACTTTAAAAAAAAAATGCATTGTGTTGTCCCCCACACCATTTTAGGCCTAACTCAAAAACAAAACCACCCCCCCCCCCCTCGACAAACACACACTTTTGTGTGCCATGAACTCGTATTGCAATGAACCTCAGCTACGGTATTTGGCCATAGAGGGCAGCACCGGCCATGGGTATATTTGGCAAAGGCACTTCCAGTTCCCATACAAACGCAATGGGTTGGGAACCGGAAAGTCTGATGGAAACTATATTTTTGGAACCTATGAACTACAAGTAACAGATTATAATGGTGCATACATGTACATAGATCTAATCAGATAGGGAGAGTTCATGAAAGGAATGTAAGGAATTAGTTAAGGCTGCTGTACATTCTCTATGGAAGCCGGAAGAAATCTCAACTTATTGTCTTCCCCAGATGTCATCCCCTCACTTTCCTCTATCCATTTTTATCCTAAATTTAACCTAAATATCACTATTCTGCTCTGGGAATGTTAAACATAGCTTGAATCCTCATGGAATATGTGAAAAAACACCATTACTGTAACATGTAATATAAAGGGGGGAATTGTACAGGTGTGTTAAAAAAATTATTATGAACAAAAAATCATAAACAAAATATAGGGGGATATACACATGTAGTGAGAGTATGACATCATTAACTCGCTGATTCGTTTACAGCCTATGCGCAACATATCAATGTTTCATGAAATCATGAGAAAAAAATTACAATTCCATAACTTTTATTCTTCGTCTGATTTCGATGAAACTTTCACTGTTTTGTTCATTCAATTGTTCTTTATTTATTCAGTTCGTTCCACTCGCAAACGGGTCACTCAGACTCTATTCAACATTGGTTTCACTGTAGGAGAAACCTGATCAAATTTACAGAAGTTATAGAGACCTAGGGTATGTCTCAGTTGTACAGAGATACTTCAAAGTCTATAGTACCCAGGCACATAAAAAATAATCTAATTTTCACTCTTCAAAGTATTGTCAGCTGTCGGCAAGAAGGCCTCATCGGCTACAAATATGTATTGTCAATCGCAGTAATCTTGCGGGCAGCCGACAATAAGACACCTTATCATACTTAAGGGAGTTTTAGGGACATAGGGTATGTCTTCGTTGTGCAGAGATGCTTTATAGTCTACACCCCAAGCACATAACAAATAATGTAATTGTAAAAGTATTGTCAGCTGTCGGCAAGAAGGCCTCAACAGCTACAAATACATATTGTCAATTGCAGTAACATCTATCCTGCAAGGAACCGACATTAAGACCTCTAATCATACTTACAGGAGTTTTAGGGACATAGGGTATGTCTCCATTGTGCAGAGATGCTTCATAGTCTAGTACCCAAGTGCAGAACGTACTGAAGTCCTTCAATACAGGCTGCTTGGACACGTGATCCTGTCAAGATGAATTGAGAAAATACCACTCAATAACAATCATGTACACGTACATGTATTATATTGCATTTCTTGGTTTCTCAATTTTGTGTGATGGTAGCAACAAAAAACTAGAGAAAGATACTCTAAATCATATCGTCGAACAGATTGATATACAACGGAAGACCATTCTCAAAACTTAAAGAAAATTACAGGGTTAACTTTAGAATACCCCCACCAAAACATAGTATGTCCCTTAGTTGTCCAATGAGCCAATGAATCTGTCTAGTCCTGTCTGTTAGTATTTTAGACAAATTTTTGCACTTGCCAAACACAACCAAAGAAAGATGACATTATTATTTCTATGCCTCTATTTGCTCTTGCCCATCACATACAGTAGGCCCTATCCTATTTTTAGTACATGTATGTTTAACAATACCGGTACATTTTTCACAATGACCCACTCTTGGAAAATAAAGTACACAATCAGCGCAGCCCTGCAGAATAGATCAGAAGTGACTTTGTCACCAAGTTATTTTTAACATATTAGCAATAGCGAGAATTTGATTCAATCCAGAAATTTGTAGAGCTGTCTAATCAATGTCGCTGATTCAAACTTGAACAGTGGTGACAATTTACCTGCCCCCCCCCCTCCTTTTCCCTTCCTCTGCACATGGTCGAAGAGATAAAAACAATTTTATAGAGCATTTGCTTCCAGTCAATATCTTCTATACATTTTAAACCCAACTTGCGGAATATTCTTGTTCTTCAAAATGCACTGTAAAGATTGACGCACATGTACATGTATGTCTAAAGAAGTCTATCAGATTATTTGTGATCTTGTGGGGCATGCAAAATCCTACCTCTTTCTCTGTCTTCGGCTTCTTCATGATAGAAACCCTTGAAGGTATGGGAGCTGTGAAGAAAAAAAAAAAAAGAAACATGAAAGAGACTTACTATTTGCAAATAATTATCAATAGCATGGTAATAGGAAGCAGTGCTTCTGCAACAGTCGTTCAATCTTACTTGGAAGTGACCAAGGAATACTTTTTTGTTGTAACCAGCTTACAAAGTTTCATATTGCGAGAACATACAGGTTATGTGCTTTATCATCATTTGATATCATCCTAAAAAAAACAGTTGAAAATTTAAATTGCAAGCACAAGCAGTGATGATCCGAGCACAGGTCTTTATCATGTTCAAACATCGATAACAAAACAATTCACTCTGTGGCATGTACTCGACTAGACCGAAAGCTTCAGTCTCTGATATCAACAGTTGGTCCGCAGAGACTACATGTACTTCTGGCTCCACTGGTTGCCTGTATACAGAGACTGAAGTAAATCGTACGGGCTATATATTGAGGGGAGTTATGACTACAGATTGTGTGCAATTGCCGAAGTCATCATGTGCAGTTTTACGATTTTTCTTATTCAAAATGTTAAGTCTAGAAACTCTGAATAAAGAAAACCTGAGGGCACTGTCTTTGCTGGAATTTGGAGGAAAAAAATAAGCTAGTTAATATGCCACCCCCCCCCCCCCCCCCTGTGCGAGTGGAAAGAAGAATACCGTCTGTGTATGGTGAAGGTTGACAAATGTCAGTTTTATTAAAGAATTCCCCATACCAAAAGGTTATTTCTTTCTAGAGTCTAGCAATCAACAAACTGTCTAGAGACGCAAAGAAACATGAGAATGGATTTCCTCAAATGGCTGATGACATTGTCCGCTCTGCAACCAAACCAGGGCCTCTGAAAGGAGCAATTCATTCACAAAAGCCATTCTGTTATTGTTGGTACATGCGGCGAATGATCTAGACGAATCAGGGCTAACTCGGCTCAAAGACAACTCGGCCCAGCTGCAAAAACGGTCAGTTTTTGTCATTTTACCCTAACCCTAAACCTGTCAGTTTTTGCAGCTGGGCCGAGTTGACTTTGAGCCGAGTTAACCCGACTCCATCTGGACAACCCTACAAACGATATGTCTGCGTCTTTATAAGTACATGACAGGGGTCAAATGAAAATGGTCATCTTCATTATTTACCAGGTGTCTATGATGGGTATTAACTATTTAAATTGATGAGTTTTCATTTTCATGTTTAATTTGTGCTTGGTTCAGGAGCTCGATTACACTAAACAGTCAATTTCAACTTTAATTTATGGTACAGAGAAAGGCAACCAGTGGTGTCACTTAAAATGTAAAGGGGGACTAATGTCATATAGAATCTATAGCCTAAAATGATCCCTTATTTGCAGAGTTCAATACAAGACGATTTTCCAAAAAGCATGCATGATGATGAATTGGCCTGCATGGCCTGGCTCAACTCATAGTCGTACTGACTAATCATCTTTCACGCAGTTGTCTTTGCAATTCCATCTTGCTGGCAAATGAAAAGTATTGAGAGAAATTGAGAATTATGTAATGTCATGAAAGATGTGTTCTGCAATAAAATTTCAATGAAGGCAGCACATAACGATTTGAATTCTTCAAATAGCAACGGCATGTTCGAGTCAAAAGCGTGAACCTTTTTCGTAAATTTTTTGTCAACGTCGTGTGGTCGTATAGCCTGCACGGTCCAGTCAGTCTACGTCTATCCTCAACATTCAGAAAACAGTCCATGTAAAACACACTGCATGCAAGTTATCTAACATAAATCAAAAGATAAATTTACTATGTGTCTGCAGCTCAGAAATTTGCCTTCCAGAAGACTTGTGGTTTCTATGAATTTATGAATTGTAAAAGTAAGAAAACATTGATGTAAATATGGTCTCTTTTTTTTCTTTTTCAAACTTAACATTGTCAACATACGCCGAACCGTTATACACGCAAAAGCCCATAGCGCACGGTCAAAAATCAAACGCGTATCAAGACGAAGACTGTGTATAAAAATGCTGTTTTCAACTTTATGAACAAAATAAAATGTTATATCTTACCAGTAAGAAAATCAGCGGACATGATTCTTTTGAATTCCACTGATGGATCAAAGAATTACTAGGTAGATTTTCCAAAAACAGACTTTTTCTCAATGTCTTAGGTTCCAAATCTCGCCAATCTGACAGCAAAACCTCAACAATACGCGTTCAGTGAATTGATCGAGTTCAAAGGGCGTGACCCGCAAGCTTCATTTACATCCGTAATGAGATAGGACGATTCCATTATTCTTTAGTGGGAGAATATATTCGGCTGTGATGGGGTTAGTAATGTAAATCCTAAAGTTGACGACTAAACAGGGTAAAGTACAGGCCTTTTAGTAACAAAATTGATATGACCTACATTTCTGGCAAAAAAGGTGCATGTAATGTATCCTTAGGCTTAGTTTCTATACATTCAGTCAATATATCGATACATTGCATACATAATGTTTGACATATTAAATTGCCCAAATGCCTGTATCGTCTTTTCAAAGCATTTTTTGTTTTTTTTCTTTCATTTTTTTATTATGTAATTTTAAGAAGAAGAAGAAAAATCATATAATAACCAAAGTTTCTTAAGCAGAAGGAGATTTCATTAAGCATATCATCGTTGTGGAAAGGTGAAAGGGCGGAGGGGGGGGGGGTGAAAATTGCTCAAGAATTTTCATGCATTATTAGAGTTGGGAAATATAAATCAATGACCTCAAGTTGGGATTAGCGTACGTTGGATTCAAGCCTCAAGCTGTAGAAATTTGAATATTTAGATTACCCCCTCATTGAAATAAAAATAAAGAAAAGGGTTATTATCTAGAAGAAATTACAATTTACAAAGATTAGGCCCTAAACGTAGACGGGGGGGGGGGGGGGCAGCTAGGTTGCCCCGAAGAAAATTAGTGCAATTTAAAGGATCAACCTAGATTACAGCCTTCTCATGAACCCCTCCCCCACCCCCTCTCTCTCTATCCCCCTTTCTTTCTCTCTCGTTTACCCTTTCGTCTTCTCTCTCTCTCTCTCTCTCTCTCTCTCTCTCTTTCTCTCTCTCTCTCTCTCTCAGTCTTAATGTTCTATTTTGTTTAGAGGAGGAGGGGGGGGGGGGGGTCGACTATACGTATACTATTATATAATCCACTGCGAAATAAGGTTACAAAATAGTTAGCTTCCTGCGAAATTCTTGTTTTAATTGTTTGATTATACTGTTGTTTGATGTTTTGGTGTTGCTGGTTTGTTTGTCTTTACAGTAATACATCTATAGTCCTAACATGAATACTTGCTAACGCCCATTACGATTTCGGATAGACCATGTGAAAAACGCGTTTCATGCAATAACAGTAATATTAGTAGTAGATTGATTAGTGGTGCCAGTAAATAATAATAGTAGAAGTAGAAATAATAATAATAATAATAATATTATTAATGATAATAATAATTATAATTATTATAATAAAAATAATAATACAAATGAATAGAAAATAAGGAGTGGAAGAAGAAGAAAGAGAAGGAGGAGGAAATATGTTTTGATTATGAAGTGAACATTCATATTACTGGACATTTCTTTATAATTGCGAAGACCCCCAAGCACGACAATTAAAAAACTGAGCTATCGCAAACCTGTTATCAAAATCGGGCTATTTTTTTATCAAAACAAGACGATTTTCAATCCAATCATTGGTTTTCCCGAGCCCGTAAAATAAACATACTTAAAAATGATAGACTTGCGAATGTTACACTTCTTACAATATATAACAATTGTAATTGTGAAAAGGGGACTATAAATACTGAAATTCATTTACAAAAGAGAAATAGTCTGTTGACGCAGGAAAGCCTAAACGGAATTACTGCGGAGCGGAGCCATGGACACAATGAAAATCAAAAATATAAAGTTATATAACAAACCATGCGATATACAAATGTTTTGAAGAATTAGCAAATTAGAAAAATTTACTTTATTATGTGTTTCATTAGCTCATTCTTTATTCATCCTCCTTCAAAAACACAACAAAACAAAACACGCAAACATTAAAATAATATACAGAGCATTTCAAAAGTATGATACAACGTAACATTAAATGAATCTATAGAAAAGGGGGACTGTCATTAAAAGCCTATTAAGGCTTGACAGGTTATTCTCCCAGTAATTGCAAGCTATAACATTAACATTTAGAATTAAAATTAAAACGCATATATTTTTAATATGTTATTGTATTATAGATCGTGTTTACAAAAGTTACAGACCTATTTCGTAAAATAACCTTCCGGAATAACCAGCATCCCCTGTAAATTAGAATTTGTTGCGTATGATTTGAATTATAAAAGTTTGCACAAGGAGTATCACAACCCGAACATATATCAGCCAGGCCAGAATCGTAGGTATATTAGTAAATTTGAAAAAATGCGGTACTTCGGATGCAAACAGGTATACTTCAGTGATCATTATATATGTTGTTATGCATAATTATTTATTTTTCAAGTATGAAGAAGGCTTGATAGTCTCACCTCCCTAATTATATGGAGAAGGCTTAGAGGGGTTAAAACTTCATCCGAGTCCCCGAAAAAGATTAATTTAAATTCTTGACGATAGAGGATAAGCATCCATACTTTTTGTTTCTTTCGCAAAGTTATTGTTTTTCTCTCACATTTTTAATTTTTTAACTCAAACATTTTTACCTCCGACATTTTTACCTCTGACATTTTTACCTCTGACAATGTTACGTCAAACCGAGGAGACAATCCAAAATATATTTGTTTTCTAATCTCAATATTTCAACAGATTTACCAACGTAGGAAACACACTGATTAAAACACCTACATCTGGGGTATCTCCTTTTAATAGGGTTAGTATTATTTTGTCAGGCAAAATAGTAAAATAAGGAAAAAATAACAAGCAAACTAACCAGTAAGAACAATACTAAATGTAAAACCTTTAGGAAAATACTATACACGAATTGTAAAACAGAGGTAAGACATATTACGACTAAGCTTATTAATATAACCAGTTCATATTTCTGTTTGTTACAATAATTTCCGGAGCAGCTAATGTTCAAAATCAAAGCTTTCCCTTCAATCGTGAAATATTTCGATTGTTTCGGTGTGGCACACCCCCGCTGGATAGTAGCTTTCATCAGTCCGGCATCAAACGTTCTCGTTACCTGCACACGTTCATGAAAACAAGATAAAAGTTGAGATTAAATAAATAAAACCAGAATGCATTTGAATAATGACAAACACGAATTAAGGAGTTACAAACACTACATTTTGTTAAAAAGTAATAATGAAAAGCGTAGCTCTGACACAACTTTTTTTTCTCGTTACTCTATCTTCCAACAGAAAGAAAGCACTGCGCTTATAGTTATTATAGCGTCTCCTTATAATACCTCACTTCCATAAACACCTGAGCGGCCCTTACCATATGATTTAAAAATGAACTTGGCACCTTAGTAAACAATTATTGAAATAAAAATACTACTTCTACTACTACGACTAATCATAATGATACTAATAATACTGGTGTGATGATACTACTACTAATAATAATAATTATAATGATAATAGTATTAATAATAATAAAGAGAAGACAAAGATGAAAAGTGATTATAATAATAAAAATAATAATAATTTTGATAGATAAATAAGAAATAATACACATTGTAAAAGTAATAATGATGATGCCGATAAAAATAATATTAATAATAATAATAATAATAATAATTAAAAAAATAATAATAAATAATAATAAATAAATGCTAATAACAATGACAAACATGTTAACTTACTCTACATCCATTAGCACAGTATACAGGGTTCTTAGAGTAGTCTGCTGAGTCATATTTATCTGAGCACGCCTCCTTCAACCCAGTCATTATTTCAAATGTAATTGGATGAGTACACTGGTAGCAGTTTTCAGCTTTTCCAAATGTTGCGGCTTGAAAAAAGGGAATAGTGTAAAACAAAGAGATTATTCTAAAGATATAGAGAGATATAGATCAATGTAACATTCATCTGTAAAAGAAAAGAGTATATCCATATAATAGCATATGTAATTCATAATAGAGTGAAAGTACCGGCTTTCGTGCTATTTTAGTAATAGTTCAAGGGAGAAAAACAAAACAATATTGCATTCAATGGATTTTTTGAACATCTATTCTACTCTTCCGATATATAAAACACTTGTGTTTGACCTATTTTTTGTGAATATTTCTTAAGACAATTTCATCCATTAGCAATGCATAGCGCAACCTCTGACGATAAGAGTCACCATAAACTACGACATGTTGGTTCCAAAAGAAAGGACAATATATACTCGCCATTGATTTTGTTCGTCACATATGAAACTCGAATCATGAAATGTACAAGAAAGATTATACTTAATTTGACTGGGTGAATTGGAAACTAATAATTAGCTTCTTTTTCGGTTAGTCTTTACATGCGATGGTATAATGAAAGAAACTATTTAGACTGATTCGGAATCAACGATCACGTGTACAAAAGAATAGTTCTAAATTCTGGGGTGCTGGAATAAACTGTTATCCAAAAAGTTGGAATAACGATTTGTTTAACTCTTTTCATGAAGTGATAGTGAGAATATGAATTCTTCTTGAATGATGGATAGAGTTTTATATCTTTTCAGAACGTTATCAAAGTTTATAGAGAATGATCAATAACGTTCCGAGAAGGTAGAAACTTCGACCAATAATAAACCATAATGATTGTCACATTCATTCATATTCCACCTTTATGGGCAACGAGAAACCTATTTCTTTCTGGCTTCTTTTTATTACGCCGCGGTTTTGCGTCGTCATATTTGAAAAAGCCTTAATTAATGCTTACCAAATGCGATAATTGCCGCACAAATGTAGCTCACCATCCTGATCAGTGATGTGAAATCCATCTTGGAAATTGATGTTACATCAAGATAATCCTAAGAGCTAAAAAAAAAAAAAAAAATGAATTGAATTGAAACGCAAAGAATGTATACTTATTTTTTTGTGAAAAGTGACGTCTGGCGAAATGTTTAAAATGCCTTGTTTTGAGTCATGGTAAAATAATAAGGTTCACCAGGGTCTTATTTCAAAATCAAATTCGTTTACATAACCACTCAATAGCTTTGTTCGTTCGTTCGTGTCTCCGTAGATCAAAATACATTCAAAGTTCCTAAATTACATTTTGAGCTTCGGAGTGGTTCAGACACGTAGCCCAGGGGTGCGAGATAGGACTCTTTTAGCGTGCCCCCACTTAAAGCCACACTGTCCTACTTCTAGCTATACTTGCTCCCTCTATATAGAAAATAATGCCCAATCGGTGACCATTGGTCCCCCATGATCCTCTTCTTCTTATGTTAATTGAGAGCTTAATTGATGAGATAAACACCTGTCCAGTGACCTTCTGATGTAGTTTAATCCCTCCTATAAACTTTACAGATAATCTTTAATACAATTTAAGTATCATATTATTAAACCCGACTGTAGCTAAGCCGACACAATTAATAGGGCGCTAAAGCATTCAAGGATAATATATTCCTTTCTACCAGGTGAGGTATACCACTTACTTCACCTGTGTGACTGCACATGGAGAGTGCCAAATGCAGGTGGATGTCTTGCCAAAATGCAAATGACATTAGTTGGTGCCGCGGCGGGTTTCGAACCGCGATTCCGAATCCCGGGTGACGTTTCCACTACACCACGACAACTGTATGCATGGGCGTAAATCCTTACGTAATACCAATTGTTCAGGGGGGGGGGGGGAGGGGGATGAATGAATAGATCATCCCCCTGAACAATAGGTATCAATTACAGATTTACGCCCAGGCTTGTATGATTATGCTACAGGCTACAGTCTACAGAGACTATATTTTTCACATTCCCAAGTTGATTTATACTCACTAAATCACCCGGCTAATGATCATCGATACCTTGATAGACCTCAATTAAAGCGACTGTATGATCCAAGAGAGAGCGGGTTTATACAGTATTCAACTTAGCTTTATTCATGTACGATTCACATCCATGCATGCTGCTACTATATATCATATCTGAATCTTTTATTCCACAAACAGGCGACAGTCAATGCTACTGCGAAGCAACCGACAGAGCCGTTGTTTGCATATTCCGATGAATAATAGACGCATTACCCCAAAACGCACGGTTACTCATAATTGTACTACAGTTACTCTGTCTGTGATGTGTACGTGAACATGACCTTTGCCTAATATAAACACAACAAAGCATGGCATAACCTGTTCTTTTCGGTATTTTCTATAATATCGTACATACGAAACACATTAAACACACTCCTACACAGTCAACTATAATCGCTTACCCGACGAATATAAAGTAGACGAGGGGGGGGGGGGGGGGGGGGGGTCGAGGGGAAAAGGGGTCAAGGGATCGAGGGGGAGCTTGAGGAAATGGAGGAGGGGGAAGGAGGGGGGGGGGGCTAAAGTCTCTATGCCCTCACTGCTGGTCTACATTATATATATTGTAGTCGTCCTTACCTTTTGCTTGTTAATAGACAGTAGGCCTACTGTAGACATGGATGGTACGTTGAATCTGGATATCAAAAGTCAAAGCGTCATCTTTCTATCCAGGTTAATATCCTTTTAAGCAATACAATGCGCAGATTTCTTCACAAGCATAATATTAATATCATGCAAGGGTTTCGATGCACTGAATTCGTTCGGTGTTCATGACTGTGTCATCGCATCGAGTCAGTGCTGGGTTTCCCCCCACATTCTCTGTTGTTACCGATTGATGGCGTGCTTCTATTATGGAATATTCCCAGTGAGGGAATCATGATTATTTCAAAAAATATATATGCATGATTCAAATACATCTTTATTTTGTTTCCTTCATTCCCAGCAAAATACAAATATCATGAAAATAATTGCTATGCTAAATGTATACAACAAAAAAGATAATGTTTAAAGTATATAAAATGAACACAAAAAGTAATAACTTTCAAAAAGAAAAAGTAAAAAATGAAACGTGATCTATATTCTGTAGACATGGAGAGGTCTGGTGAAAGCAGAGCTTGTCTTTTGTGGACCCTCAGATGATAATATAAGTAAATTTAAAAGGTACACACACCAACAAATGAAGAATGTTAGTGACCAACAGAGACAACATTCACAGAAACACGTACAAATTGCATGACAAAACAGGAACAAATTGAGTGAAGAATATAACAAAAAAAGAAGAAAATGTGGGCAGCATTTGGATTTGAGGGAGAGCACAGAGAGAGAGAGAGAGCGAGAGAGCGTAATAGAAAGCGCCAAATGTCCTTGGAAGTTTCAGAAGAAAGAAAGAGAAAAAGTTGACCGAGTGTTTGAAGCTTCAGTATCCACACCCAGGCCCTGGCTTCAAGAGAAGAGAGAGAGAGAGAGAGAGAGAGAGAGAGAGAGAGAGAGAGAGAGATTGGAGGTGGGGTGGCAAAACATCACACCTTACAGTGTTCCATACATACTTGTATTTGGGAAATTATTTTTGACGGCCCCGATATGACATAATTGAGGAAGAAAAGGCAAATATATGAGAATATGTTTTTATTTTGTGCGCTTTCAATATTGACAAACAATGATAACTGGCTAAGAAGAGCTCGGTTCCAAAAGGTATTACAATGTACATCCATAAATCCAAATTCTGAGAAAAACACGATCATAGTTAGCAATATTAATGTCAGTTTGGAATAATACTTTCGCTGACTATGTTATTGTATGATACAAGTATAAAACCACTCTTTCAAAAGAAATCTAAGTCTGCACAATTTTTTGTTATGAACTCATGTTTTTTCAATTTTGTGGATGTAGTACCTTTTTTTAATTGCCATTTCCCCCTCTTTTTTGTTGTTGAAAATTCAGCTTTTTGGAAGCGTCAGTGTAAAAGAGGCTAGTAGAAATGGGTACATTAATGCAAAAAAAAAGAGAGAAAAAAAAATCAATTTGGATAAAAATGGATGTAGTACCTTTTGGATCCGAGCTCTTTATATATAATAATAATGATAATATTTAATTTTTATATAGCGCTTAATAAAAATGTCTCTAAGCGCTTTACAAATATACTATTACCCCGGTCATTGGATTCAGTGCTTGTCCGCACACACTGTGTGCACAATCTCCACTCCCTGGGGAGCATTCCAGCCGGGCGTTACTTGACGCTCACAAGCTGTTTGACCAACAATGACGGCCACATCCTACCGGGTACCCATATGACACCTGGGTGGAGAGTAGCAAGTGTAGGTTAATATGTTGCCAAAGGATATTAGTGCCGTGTCGGGATTCGAACCCTCGACCTTCGCATCTCCAGTTAAGCGCCTTAAACCACTCGACCACGACACTAATGCTTCCTTGTCATTTCGTGGTAAAAAAATTCTGCCCCTCCTGCGAATGCGCTATGAGTTTGAAGGATGCATCGGAGAGTGCCCTGGTTTCTGAATGTTTATCTTCCATACCAGGCGAGTACAATTCCCACCAAAGTAAAAGTGTTTTCATAATTTCAAACATACGTTACATTTCTGGGTTTTTTCTTCTCTGTTTTTCTCTCTCTCTTTTTTCATGGAAGCAGGAAGGGTGGATAGTGTTTAGGCTTGGTATTCAATGTCATTTTCAGGATAATGAACCCTTTATTTTCGGAAGTACTACCTTATGAACTATGAACCTTTTTATTTCAGCAGAAAAACAAAATGTTCCCATGTTTGGATTTTCGGCTTAAAGAAGGTTTTTCAAAATGCGACATCATATAAATAGTTCTAAGAGATCGATTTTATTTTAAATACCTTGATAAAAGAATTAGTGAGTATATAAATTAATGGTTATAAATCTGGAGAAAATGGTCAAAATTTTACTTGGGTTATATCTTGTATTTACACAGGCGGTCATCAAGTATATTATTCACTAGATGCTTTTTATAACGTTTTTTCCGCCGCTAATGTTAGCTATGATCTATATATGCCATGTAATGGGCTATACACCTTTGTTGATAATATTATAGAGGGTGCCATAGGCGCCGCAAGTGGGGGAGGGGGGGGGGGCAGGGGGGCAAAACGCATTTTTGCCCCAAAACGCCCCCCTCCAAAAAAAAGCAAAAAAGGAGTAAAGAACATAACAATAAAAAAAACCTGAATTTAATCACATGTCAAATTCCATTCAAAGAAAAGGAAAGTTAACAGAAATTAAATTTCCTAATCATTGCGCATGCCACCTATATTCACCAATGGAGGTTTTTAAAATATTGTGAGAGAATGGAAAAGCGTGCCTGTTTTTTGTTATAGGGGTGAGAAGACATGAACCCCTGAACGCTGACGTACTGATGGGGGGGGGGGGGTATTTATTATTCGAAACCAGCAATTTATAAATGTTGCTGAAATGACATGATTTTCCGATATTTTTCTCAAGTTTGCTGTAAGTCATACCTTTTGATGCGTTTGTAGGAAAATTAGAAAATCCCAAATTTACAGTCGGGCGAAAAATATGCTTATTTAGAAGCCTTTATATCATGGTCTGCAAAATGGCTGGGCTCGGGGGCTCGAGCCCCCCCCCCCCCCCTCACTTAAAAAAAACAAAAACAAAGAGAGAGAGAGAGAAAAAAAAAAGTGACCTGCCAATGTCACAAATGAGGTATCAAAATATGCTCATCTGACCGTAATGAAATGCCTAAAACCCAGAGCTTACAGGGGCTCCGCCCCGGACCCCACAAAGGCTCCTAGGGCGGTCCCCTGGATGCTTTTCTGACCGTGACTAAATACCTAAAACTTCCGAGCTTCCAGGGGCTCTGCCCCCTGGACCCCACCAAGGGCCCTAAGGTGGGCCACTGGATGCTCATCTGACCGTAATTAAATACATAAAAACCCTGAGCTTCGGGGGCTCTGTCCCCTGGACAACCCAAGGGCCCTAAGGCGGCCACTGGATGCTCATCTGACTGTA